CCAATAAATATCCAGATTTGATTTCCTTTAGGATTGACTGGTTTGATCTCCTTGCAGTCCAAGGGACTCTCAAGAGCCTTCTTTAGCACCACAGTTCAAAAGCATCAATTCTTTGATGCTCAGCTTTCTTTATTGTCCAACTCTCNAATTCTCTTGCTTTTTCTATGATCCAACAGATGTTGGCAATTTGATCTCTGGTTCCTCTGCCTTTTCTAAATCCAGCTTGGACATCTGGAAGTTCTCCATTCATGTACTGTTGAAGCCTCACTTGGAGCATTTTGAGCATTACTTTGCTAGTGTGTGAGATGAGTGCAGTTGTGCAGTAATTTGGACATTCTTTGTCAATTGAGTTTCTTTGGGACTGGAATGAAAACTGACATTTTCCAGTCCTGTGGCCCCTACTGAGTTTTCCAAATTTGCTGGCATATTGAGTGTAACACTTTAACAGCATTATCTTTTGCGATTTGAAATAGCTCAGCTAGAACTCCATCACCTCCACTATCTTTGTTTGTAATGATGCTTCCTAAGGCCCACTTGACTTTACACTCCAGGATGTCTAGCTCTAGATGAATGATCACACAATTGTGGTTATCTGGGCCATGAAGATCTTTTTTTGTACAGTTCTTCTGTGTATTATTGCCACCTCTTCTTAATATATTCTGCTTCTGTTAGGTCCATACAGTATCTGCCCCTTATTGTGCCCATCTTTGCATGATTTGGTATCTCTAATTTTCTTGAAGAGACCTCTAGTTGTTCCCATTCCATTGTTTTCCTCTATTTCTTTGCATTCTTAGGCAGGCTTTCTTATCTCTCCTTGCTATTCTTTGGAACTCTCCATTCAGATGGGTATGTCCTTCCTCCTTTTCTCAGCTATTTGTAAGGCCTCCTCAGACAACCATTTTGCTTTTTTGCATTTCTTTTTCTTGGATATGGTTTTGATCACCATCTCCTATACAATGTTATGAACCTGTGTCCATAGCTCTTCAGGCATTCTGTCTATTAGATCTAATCCCTTGAATCTATTAGAAATTATACATATCTTTTAAATTATAACTACAATTTAACATGCTCTAAATAGCTTCTCATTTTTGGTATCATTCCAACTTTTTACAACTTGTGTTGCAGGAAGGGTGACCCCTTCCAGGGCCTGCAGGTGCACACCTGTCTGACCCTGGGAGATGAATTGGCCAAGGAGACATAAGTGCTGACAAAGCAAAAGGCTTTATTGTTAAGGAGCATCTGAGCGGAGAGCAGCAAGATGAGGGAATCCAAAGAACTGCTCCACCCCATGGTTTGTGGTCTCTCTCAGGTTTTACTCTTTGGTAAAAGGGTTAATATCCAGGGTGTCTCTGGTCAGTCACTTTGCTTGGCCCTAGTCTGACTCAAGGTCCTTCCAGGTGGTGCACACATCTCAACCAAGATGGATTCCAGCAAGAAGGATTCTGGGATGTTAGCAGAACATGCCAATCCCCCTCCTTTTGGCCCCTTCCAAATTCTGTTTTCTTGTGGCAGCAGGACCTCTGATTGCAAGAAAGTGCTTAGAAGTGATTATCATTGTGCCTGGCTAAGGCAGGCGGTTTCAGTCAGTGGTTACCAACACTTGTACTATTTCAATTAACTAGTTAACGAACCATCACAACTCAGCCAAAGTAAGCCCCTTTATGGTGGGCCTCTTTATCCCTTGAACACTGTCCCTGAAATCCTTGGATATCCAACTTGCCTCAGGCCCATTCTAAGTAGTATGTGTATGCTTGTGTGTGTGTGTGTGTGTTTGTATGTACATACTTTTGCATCTGCATGTGTTGATGTGTGCGAGTGTCTGTGGCGATGGAATCAGCGGCCCTCCCAATAGCCCTGCTACCCTTCAGTGGAGAAATGCAGTAGGTCCAGATCTAAGATCTATGGGCATACATGAAGTATACATGAGAATGGTGATGTATACATGAGAATGGCAACCTATACATGAGAACGGTGACACATACCTGAGGATGGCGAGCGCACGTGAGGATGGCGGAGTGTACGTGAAGATGGCGGAGCGTACGTGAGGATGGCGATGCATACATGAGGGTGGCGACGCATACGTGAGGATGGTGAAGTATGAAATGGCCACTTTTAATGACAGAGCTCCAAAATGCTTTTGATGATTTTATATACTAGTTCTGATTTTTTAAAATAAGTAACACTCATGATAGAAAAAGTACATCCTAGCCATCTGATTCACCTCTCAAGGCAACTATAGGTCTGAATTCTTGGTCTTCTACACTGAAGGTTATGAGACCACATGGATGCTTCCTGTTTCAGGAATTATAGTGCTCTCCCTCCTTGTCTTCCTTTTCTTTCAGGATGAGCCTTTTTTGCCCATTTGGATCTCACTTCCCTGTCCCCTTCCTCAAGAAGTTCTTACTCTGGGAGAACAGAGCAGGGCAGAGAGGACAGCACTACAGGAGGCTGGTCTGAGGGCATGAGAGCCCTGTGTGAGTGTGCTGGGGGTGGGCGTGGACAGGGTGAGGCATCAGCGGCTAGTATCAAGCAGCGTGGCCAGGTGAATTTGGGTGACAACCACAGAGTTCACTTCTTGCTCTTGCTCTGTGTCTTTGGAGTGTTGGGACACTCTGGGTCACCTTTTGGAGACTCAGGCTGATAGGGCAAGCACCAGCTCTAGTTGCAGATCATGGGGACAGAGTGGAGGGCACCCTGGAAAGTCTCACACGGACAACGCCGTGCTCGCCCCCAGGTGATGGGCAACTCTTCCACTCACCCCGCACCCTGTTTGCCAGAACTAGTCACATGGCCTCTCCTGAAGGCTGGGGATAGAATATGCAGCCAGACCCCAGGCCCAGAAGAGCAGGGAGCACAGTGATGGCCCAGAGGATGACACAGCCCATGGAGGGCAAAGGGGAAATTTTGAAATTTTTAAATTACTTCTACTTTGTTTTTAAAGCATGTGTTCCCAGTGGGATTCCTGTTGCCTTCTTACACCCATACATCACCTTTCATTTACTGTGATGTGTGTTACACCCTAACTCAATTCTCAAGGAAAGGTGTTAGTAAAAGTCTTTTTGATACTTAAAAAAAACAGGAGATTTATTTTTAAAAAATTTAAAACATTTCTTGGCTGTGCCGAGTCTTAGTTGCCACATTGGGGATCTTTAGTTGTAGCATGCAGGATCTTCAGCTGTGGGGTGGAACTCCCAGTTGTGGCATGTGGGATCTAATTCCCTAATCGGGGATTGAACTCGGGCACCCTGCATTGGAAGTGCACAGTCTTAGCCACTGGACCACCAGGGAAGTCCCAGGAGATTTATATTTAAAGTTGGGCTATTTCACAGAGACAGAGCCGTGTTTCCCTGGAGCAGTTCTCAGAGAGGACTTGTGTGTGCCCTGGGTGAGGGTCCTGGGTGCTCACCCAATCAGGTGGGATGGTGGTCATGACCAGGGGCTGGGAGGCAGTCCTGGCCCTGGGTCAGGGGTGAGGCTGGACTGTCACGTATTTGTCTCTCTTGGTCCCCAACCAATCCTGGGGCGGGGGGGTGGGGGAGGGTAAGACATGTCATGGCCATCTCACAGAGTAGAAACCAGAGCCACAGGACTAGGGCAGCTTGCCTGGGGTGGAGAGTTTAAACTTACAGATGTCATACCCTTAGTTTTGGCCTTTGGCAAGGAGGTTGAAGCCTCACACCTCCCTCTGTAACTTTGGTTGCTCCAAGGACAAGATCTACAGGCCAAGTCGTGCCCAGTGCTCACAACACAGAAGTAAGCTCTTCGGCATGGCTGGCCGCAGAATGTTCCAGTGCACTGCTGTTCAGGTCTATGCCCAAACTTGAACAGATGCTTGTTAGGATCAGCTCCAGAGCATCACCTGTTAGGTCTTGGGGCTTTGCTTTGGCCAGTAGCAAATACACCTGAACTGCATTTGGCTCCTAGTTAACAGGAAAATACTGGCTTATACAAGAAAGCACTTTCCTTGTCTATGACGTGACAAAGAGCCCAAAGGGAGATAGCTGGGGCTGGTGTGGAGCGCGCCCCCCACTTCACTGCCCAGGGCCTCCCTGACCCCCTCCCCCGGCGGGGGCGCCCTGCCCTGGTGCTCCAGTGAGGACCAGGGAGGTGGCGGAGGGCCACAAAGGCTCCTGCCAAGTCGGCCCTCATGGGTTTTCCTCAAGCCCCACTCAGGCGTCTCCACAGTGTCCCTGGGCAAGCCCATAAACAGCATTTCATCGTTGTCTCCACGACTTTGGGCTTACTGTTGGGTCAGGCTGAGTCTTGTTGATGTCCTCTACCCGTTTTCCTCTTGAGTTTTCTCTTTTTCAGCAACAGCTACAAACTATTTGCTTAAAGGATAAACCAACTATTTGTCTCTCCTTTTTGTTACAAATATTATTTCCTCTCAATTGACTGTTTTAGTTTGATCTTTTTAGTTTAATTGATCTTTTTAGTTTGTAGAAATTTTTCCATTTACGTTTTTAAGATATTCAGGTTCATGAACCACTTCCGTACGATTTCTAACTTTGGTGAAGAGGCCCTCCCAGCTGGCTCTCGAGAACACGGGCTGAGCTCACTGCAGCTTGTCACCATCCTGGGGTTGGGCGAGGGCGGCGGGGAAGGCTGAGACCTGACCCTGGGATCCTGAGGGTCACAGAGCAGTCCGGCTGCAAGTGAGGTGGAGCACAGGTTTGGGACAGAGTAGGCACAGGGCCTGGTTTGCATTTGAGAAGTTAACTAGGCAGCCAGGCGGTGTGGAGACAGGAGGACGGGGGAGTGGTAACCTCCGAGTCCCCGCTGGGGGTGAACAGCAGGGACGCAGGCCAGAGGCTCAGGCTTCAGTCCCCCTGAGGCCATGGAAAGCAAGTGGGGAGACTGACAGAGCCCGTCTCTGCACACAGAAACTGCTGGGGGCACATGAGCCGGGAGGGCACGCCCCATCTGCCAGGACAGCGAGTGGGCCGGGTGGGACACGCTTGGACTGTTACTGTGTGTGCTCTACAGAGAGAAGCCATGACTTCATCTTCAGAGTCTGTTTATTTTCAGATAAAAGGAATCACATTTGCCTACATACCCCAGCAAAATCTAAAGTTTAATTTTTATAATTTAATTTTAGGAAAAAGTCAACAGTTTGCACTGGAGGATGATCTCAGGTTCCCACTCCTTTTCTGGGTTAAGCAGCCTCAAACAGTTACTCTTGGTGGTGATGTGAATGTGAATGCATGCATGTGTACACACAAGTGTGTGCATCCTTTATGAAAGTTCTTGCTGTCGTACCCATACATCTCCCTTTGACAATTTCATTTTTTTTTTATTCTGCTGTACTGTTTAGCAAACAGATAATTTGATATAAGTCCCATATGATGTGATTTCACAATAAGAGGTCTAACCATTGAGATATGACTTAATATGTTAAAGTAATAGAAAAGCTTATTATGTGCAAACAAACAGGGCTTATGCTGCAGCTGCGTCTGAGTTTATTTCACAAAGCTGTAAACACAGGCCCTTTCTCAAGTCCTGCTGATGGAGTCTCTCCTGCCTTCTGTCGGCAGAAGAAGAATGCAGCGGCTGAGGCGCGCTCTGCCCTGTGCGGCCCTTGGCTTCCCGGCCCGTCACTTAAAGGAGCCCATTCATCCCCACGCCGGGCAGTGCTCCTCTCGGGGTCCTTCTGAGGCTTTTCACACACAGGCTTTCCCAAGCGGGAGACATCTGATCTCCGCCTGCCCAAGCGGGGCCCCCAGGCCCCGGGGACGCGGGAGCTTGAGAAAGGTGCTGAGAGCCGGGGAGCTGCCAGGGGAAGGGGCAGGGGTCACAGCCCTCCTCCCACCCTGCCCTGAGCTGCTCCCCGACTGAGGGCCCTAGTGTAATTCCACCCCAGGCCTGGGGGTGAAAGTGGGGAGGCCCACGAGGCCAGCCAGGCCCAGCCCTGAGAGTGGACGGAGGGGGCAGGGGCCCAATCAGTTCTGCTCACTGCCTTCCCTGGGGCTGTAAAACCAGCACTGGGGGGGCGGGTACCCAGGGGACTGTGCCCTGGAACAGGAGAACCCTTAAACCCCCGGTGGGGTGGGGTCTTCTCAGCACGTCTTAGCAGCAAGTGGTTCGGAGGACAACCCAGCCTGCCTGCCGGGTCCTCAGAGGGCTGCGGGCTGCAGGCAGAGGGGTCAGGCTGTGGGCCCACGCTGGCCGCGGCCAGGGAATGCTTGCCCCGCAGGAATCACCTCCTCTTCCGCACGCACGCCTCCAGCCGGCCCAGCTCCTCATAGGACTGGTAGAAAATGTCAAACTCCTGCGTGCCCCAGCCCCTCCAGACAGCCAGGCACCACTCTAGATTTTCGTTCTCAAAGCCGCATACAACCGTGTCCTTTGCCACCACGGCAGCATCCGTGAGAACCCTGCAGAGAGATGGGGTCTGAGAAAACCCACAGGAGTTCCTGCTTCCTCAGGGTGGCGACCCTCACCCTGCACCTTCTCAGAGGACAGAGCCTGGCTAAGGGGGCATCTGTGCACCCCAGCCTGGCACCAGCCATGTGCTTCTCTGTCTGGCGGTCTAGCATGTGGGCAGTCTTTCTAAAGCCTATAAAGGGGCATCATTTCAACTTCACCTCAGAGCAGGAATCCTCCCTAACACACCTCAGACCCCAACATGTCCAGAAAAAAGTCAGCCTTCCATGCCTAAGAGTTTGGCATCCTTGGATATGGAGGGCTGGCTGTGCGTCCTTGTGTGTGCTTAGCTGCTTATTCGTGTCTGACTCTTTGTGACCACATGGACTGTAGCCCGCCAGGCTCCTCTGTCCATGGGATTCTCCAGGCAAGAATACTGGAGTGGGTTGCCATTTCCTCCTCCAGGGGATCTTCCTGACCCAGGGACTGAACCTGTGCCTTCTGCATTAGCAGGCAGATTCTTTCCCACTGAGCCACCTGGAAATCCCAGGGCTGACTATATTATATCATTTTATATATAAGGTCTTGAGCATCCTTGGACTTCTCTGTATCTGTAAGGGTCCTGCAATCAGTGCCCCCGCAGATGCTGAGAGAGGCTGGAATGATCAATTCTATCCTATAATTCTTGCTTATCAATGGTCCACGACAGATTCTAAGCTTTAACTCAATTTCCTTGCCACTCAATCCAGGCATGATTTTTCTCTCTTACTATGTTTCCACATGCCTAGGAAATGTGGGGGAATATATTAGAAAACCTATACCAAGTCTGATCTACGTACATTTTTAAAAGCAAGTCCTGCATGACCCGGGCACACCCTACACATTTCCTTCCGGGCCTCTGCAGGCCGTGTGCCCCCCTCTAAGCAGACACTGCCAGCCTCTCTTCCCTCTGCCCGTGTGGTCTGATGGCACCAAGGCCAGCATGTAAACTGGGATGTGTAGGGGAATCTGCTCTCGTGGGCCTTGCATGTCTCGGGCACTCAGTAGCTATCTGCCAAGGGACTAACTGTCTCAGCACGACTGAGTGGCTAAGCAGCAGGAAATGTCTCAGACGCATCTCAGAAAGCTGGTGGGCTCGGGCCACAGCCTTCCTTTTGCTGGCTGCCTATGCTGCTTTCTCCCTGCAGTGAGGGTGCCTGCTTTTGGTAAACCTGTCTTTGGGGGCAAACAGGAAAAACAACAGCAGGGGAAAAGTCAAGGGCTCTGATGGTGGACACTCCAAGGTCAACAGGCCTAGCCTCTACGGACACACCTGCTCCCCAGGAAGCCTGACCTGGGACCTGGGGACTACCACTGCCCCCACACTCAGCCAGCACTCAGGAGTAAACCCAGCTCCAGTCTCCAGAACCCCCGGGAGGGCAAGGGCCACTGGCCCAGGTGCCACATACACCTCCATCATCGTTCTGCTCCAGGGAAGACAGGCCGAATGCGATTTCTCCATAAGGGAGAGAAGCGCATGGGACTCAGCCCAGTGAGGGGTGTGGATGCCGTGGGCGGCCTGACAGCCCTAGGAACACTGGCCGGACCAGCCTTGCATCAGTACAGCCAGGTAGGTGGGGTCCAACAGCATCCTACAGTGGCGTCTGGCCTGCCTTCTGATGGCGGTAAGTACAGCTGAGCCCAGAATGGGCATGGCGGGCGTGGACGTGGTGAAGGCTGGTGTGGCCTGGCAGCGTGGCTCCACCTGGTGCCCAGGGGTAGGAGAGGCACCTCAGGAGGGCTCCCAGGCTTGGCAGGAAGAGTGGGGGGCCACCTGAATCCCCATTGTGACTGCAGCTGAAATGGGGCTCTGCAGGCTACCTCGGGCTGGGCAGGTGGTCCACAGGTGCACGGGGCACCCCAGAAAAGGTAGCCGTGACTGTGACTGATGCCCCTCTCAGCTGGCATTTACTGACCCCCTGGGAGCTGCCTCCCGCAGACTCTGTATTGTTCCTCCTCTGCCTCTACTGACAGGGGTGGATACTATCAGTTTTGGGTGGAGGACAGAAGGGCCACAGCCATCACGCAGGGAGGCAGTGGGGGGCCTCGATTCCCTAAGCTACAGCCTGGCCCCCACATAGCTGCCCTCCGTCTTACCCGTGTGGAGTCAGCTCTCGGGCTTTCAAGACAGCAATCACGCGGCCCCGCTGAGTTCCTGCCTCCTTCTCCAGGCCAATGACAATGATATCTCCACCGCGCCTAAGAAACCAGAACCCCGCAGGGGAATCGTTTGTCCAGGGCTGTGCTCTCCAAGGGGAAATGGAGAGGGTGTGCAGAAAGGCAGGGAAACAGACACAGCTTTGGCACATGGATTGGGTTCCTGGGAGGGCCCCAGAGCTGGGTGAGAAGCCCTTTCCCGGTCGGAAACCCGACCACGGCTCTCCTCTCTGGTGCCCTGAGCTCTGGTGGGCTGACGGGCAGCCCTTCTTAGATCTGCTAAAGGAGCCCTCCAGTTCCCGGAGAGAAAGGGCGGCTCCTGATACATCTGACTGTACTTGAAGATTCCCTGCACTCTGGCCCCACAGCAAGAGCAGAGAGGGCGCAGGGTGACACGCCTGCAGGACACCTACCTGGGGACCCAGATGACGTCTTTCACGGCGAGGATCTTCACAGCCTGCAGGTGCTGGCTGAACGCCTCGCCATCCACGGGGCTCAGGTCATGCGCCGACCTGTCGGAGCCCGCGGCTGGCTCGGGCAGCTGGCTGGTATCCTCGCAGTCAGCGGAGAAGGGCAAGCTGGCAGAGCTCGCTGGGGAGCATGGCAGGCTGGACAGGGAGCAGTAGTCGGTCAGCGAGTCCTGGTGGGTGAGGATCTGCGTGCCCAGCTCCTCGCTGAACATGAAGCTCACGTCGGCAATGGAGCCCCTCGCGGGCTCCCTCAGGCTGGCCACGGGGCTGTCCAGGGGAGGTGGGCCCATCGGGCGCACGGGAAACACGTCCCCAATGGGGCTGGGGTCCCCGCAGAAGTAGCGGGCGCACAGCTGGTAGGTCGCCGAGTGGTACATCACCAAGCAGTTGGCCCTGTCGTCCAGGCACCACACCACCTCCTCACCATGGCACTCCGAGCCGCACACCACAGACGTGACCACCGAGGGCGCCGTGTAGGGCTCTAGCCGCCGGCGTATCTCCAGGGCCGCACAGTCAATGACCAGCAGGCCTGGCCCATTGCTGTACCAGACCTCGGACCCGCTGTTGACCACCTCCATGGCCATCACCGGGTAGGGGTTCTGCCGGGCGTCCTCGTCGGGGATGCTGAACTTGGCCCTGTTGGCCGTGTGTGAGCAGAGGTAGGAGCAGCCGGGGTCTGGGGCGCCCCATGCCGCCGGGAACACCGCCACCAGGCCGTCCGCCAGGCCCGCCAGCACCAGGTAGGAGTTCTGAGGGGGGAAGACAGGGTACCTGATGCCCTTGCAGCTCAGGCATCCAAGGAGAGAGACAGCACGTGCAGGACCCACCCCTGCAGGTACCCCGTGAGCACGCACTTCCTGTCAGCACCTCCCGGCTTCTAACACAGGCCGGGGCTGCCAGCAGGATCTTCCAGTGTGCTCCCAAAGGAGGTGCGGCTCAGGCCCAGAAGAGCCACCTCTGCCCTCCTTCCTGGGAGCAGAAGGGTGCCCGCTGGCACCCGAGCAAGGGCCACGTGCTGCCGGGACCACGCAGCCCACCCTCGGTGAGCCTGGGCCTCCTGCCGGGCCAGGAGGAGGGAGCGGCCTTCCCCTCAGTCACCCAGGCCTCCTCTGAGGCGGGAGTGGTGCCCTCCTTCCCCTGAACTCTGCTGCATAAACTGATGGTGGCTGTGGGTGCCCCACGGGGCTGGGACTCCCGCTCGCCACTTCCACAAGAGCAGGCCTGGGTCTGTGTGTCCACCACTGCCCCCAGGGCCAGCCTGCACAGGGAAGGGATGACTCCCAGCCACCTCGGGGACCCCCCCACCCCGGTTTTCTGCTCAGGTACCAACGGGTGCCTGCTGAGCTAAATCTTGAAGAAATCACTTTCAGCTCAGTCCTCTAACGGAGGCACCTCTTGGCCACCACACCGCATGCCCTGCTTCCCACATCTACTCTGAAATGCTGTGGTCCAGCTGACACTGAGAGGGCCCTCGGGGTGTCCCTGCCCTGCCTTGAAGCACATGTTCTTCTACGACCACCAGAGGTCACCAGGCAGGGGCAGTGCTGAATGCTGGGCCCAGCCCTGCTGCCTTGGAGCGTCTATGCAAAGCTGGGAGTGGAGAGCAGCTGAGCAGGCTCCATGCCCAGGTAGGCCAGGAGGGGGACAGGAAGGGTTCAGGAGCACAAAGCCAGAGCCGGGAAAGGGCAGAGGCGCGGGCCTTGCGCCAGCGAGGGCGAGCAGCAGAAAGCCTCCTTGTCAGGAGCTGGGGAGGCAGGCTGTCCAGGGCGATGAGTGAACCAGCCCCGAGATCAACAGCCCTCAGAACGCTTATCAAAATCCATCTCCAGGATTCCAGGACAGAAAAGAGCCAAAGCAAATAGGAGCGAGGTCTCTCTCTGAGTCCCAGCTCCAGGCCCCAGCCAGGCGGCGAGTCCCACGTCCCGGCTGGGTGTGGACATGCACGTGCAAGAATTCAGGGTCTGCCCTCTGCGGCCAAGGGGCAGCACGTCCTCTGAGGGTGCAGACACGCCGACAGGGAGGCCCCGCACAGAGCCGGCTTTATTCCCGCCGGCCTGCGGGCGGCGGTGCCCCGGCTTGGGGCTCTGGCCAGCCACGGCCTTAAATAACACTTTGTGCCGTGCTCTGCGCTTCAGTGCAACTGGGTCCTGAGCTGCCCGGCCTCGCCTGTGGGGCCACAGTCATAGCTGACTCTAAGACTGAGTTCAGGTTTTTTTTTTTTCTTAAGAAACGAAACCATAGAGGCGTGGAGAGGAGACTGTATGTAGTTCACGACTGTCAGGAAGTAGCAACAATGCTCTCATTTACCCAGAGTGCTGGCCCAGAGCTTCAGGTACGCTGTGCCCAAGAGATCCTCCTTACCATCTCTTTTACACCCACTTTGCAGATGGGAAAACTAGAATCAGATGATGGTAGTCGACTCGTTTTAACAAAGCCGTACCAATAATGGCCCTTTGAGCTGGGAGCTACACAAACAAGTGCCTCAGGCCCCACAAAGGGGTTCCCGAGGCTGGAGAAGCCTTGGAGACATCATCGAGGAGCTTCTCAGAGTGGGGGGTCATGGCCCTGATCTTCAGAAATGAATAGGAAGAGGTATGAGCAGCTGGATCGGTTCTGGAGGGAAGGGGCTGCTGGGCACGCGGTGCTGGGTGGGGAGGGTGTGCGGCGGGGCCGGGCTGGGCCTGATCTCAGGAGCTGCAGTGCTTGGGGCCCTGGCTGGGGCGGGCACCACTCGCAGATTCACTTGAGAACGGCAGGAGCTAGAGGCTGAGGTGGTGAGTCTTTGGGGCTAGACTGAGGTCTGGGCTGGATGGTGTGTACCCCAGAGCAGGCAGAGCTGGAGGGGGCGGGGATACGGCTGCCCAGCAGGGGTGGGGGCCTGCCAGGGCCTGGGGGCTGAGTGGCCGTGGGGGTGCCGGGCCAGGTTCTCAGGGGGTGCACATGCAACTGCTCCTGGATGCCATCTGTACCAGAAAAGCCTCTCACTCCAGCTGGAGCTGTGGCGCTTGCCTGCGGGACGCAAGCCTTCCACTCAGCCCTTAGTTTTACTGGTCACTCGCTTCCCTGGTGTTCAGATGGTAGAGAATCTGCCTGCAATGCAGGCGATTCGAGTTCAGTCCCTGGGTCGGGACAATCCCCTGGAGGAGGAAATGGCAACCCATTTCAGTATTTCTTGCCTGGAGAATCCTAAGGACAGAGGAGCCTGGCGAGCTACAGTCCATGGGGTCACAAAGAGCTGGACACGTTTGAGCAGCTAATGCTTAGGTTCTTGGAAACCCAGAGGCACTGAGGATGGCCCGGGTCTCCTGTCTCTATGGCTGACTATAGCCTAGGCCTGGTGGTCCAGAAGAACATGGTTCTGCTCCCTTCCCTATCTGCCCAACGGAACAGGTGACGGAGAACCAGAAACCTGTGCACCCGCCTCCTTATCTCACCTTTTTTATAATAGGTACCGCCAAGAAGCAGGTGACGATGGCCGGGGTGTCCAAAGCCCGCTGGGGTGTGTTCAGTGGACACATGCCCTTGAGGCTGTAGATGTAGATCTTCTGGTCCTGCAGAGGAGACGGTCAGCATGAGAGCTGGCTGCAACGGGCCTGCCAGCTCCCGGGGTGCACTTGGCCTCAGGAGGCCATTCACCCCTTGGGAAGTAACATTTATTGAGGCGTTCTGGTTGGCTGGTTTCATGTTTCTGTTCTTTCTGGAAACTCTGAAAACTACAGAACAGTCTAAAGAAAAACATAAAATCGTCCACGATCCAATATTCAGAGAAAGCCACCTTTGAAATCTGGGGCCCAGACTTCCAGTTCTCTACGTGTATTCGTGTGTGTCTGCATTCCCAACAGTGGGACCACACTGCTATGCTGTTTCCACGATGAGTGTGGGCAGAGGTTCTCTCCTCCCTGGTCTGTTAGTGAGTGAGGCATGTCCATCACTTGAGTACACCAGAATTTGGCTTATATGTTGTCATGTGTTTATTCTGTTCATTTTCACTACTATGAGTTGCACTGGAATGAGTATTCTTACACTCCTGTCTTGTCTGAGTGTTCCTGTGTTTGCCTGTCTTGGTTTTTTTTCTGAGAGCAAATTCTTAAAACTGAAATTACTAAGGCTTACAAGGCATGAATACTGTTGAGATTTCTGATGCATATTTGAGCTATACTTGCCATCTGGAAAGGCTGCACCAATTCATATTCTCCTGCCCAGTAGCTTCAGATCATGTGTTTTTGTGGCATTCCTCTCTGGAGTCTCAAAAGATAGTTCCTTGTGCCTTCTGCTGACCTCTTTACATGAAAGCAAGAGGCCTCAGAGCTGAGTGGATTTGCTGTTAGGCAGGCGGTGTTATAAGAAACCCAGTCACTTCACCAGCCTACTAGGGTGAATCCCTCTTGCTGGGATTCTGCACTTGACACATCAAAGCTACATCCCAGCCACCAGTCAGGAACTAGGTGGGTGAGTCAGCCCTGTGAGTGTGTGAAGTTTCAAACGTTCCTGGGTGTCCTGCCTGTTTTGTTGCTAAACCTGACCCCCAGGGGTGGGAGTTTCCCACCTCCATTAGAGCCCTACAGGGGTGTGGTTACCTCGGTGGCCGTCCACAGCGAGTTCTGGATCTTGAGTTGGCAGCTCAGCTTCATTCCCGCACAGCTCATATGTTGCACTTCCAGAAGGCCCTTCTCCGTGTTCACCACCGTGTAGTTCCTACAAGCGGCAACAGCGATGCAGTCAGCATGGACCTCCCTCCTGAGGGCAGGCCTGAAGCAGCCTTGAAGGAGGGCATCAGCTGTGGGTCTGGCCTACCCCTTCCAGCCCAGCGTCCAATTCTGCACGTTCTGAGGGGCTCAAGGCTGCGGCAGAGCCTGGTTCTATCTACCTCGTGATGCTTGAACATTTAGGCAGAGAAAGGCCATTCCCAAGAGGAAGAATGACCCCTCTCTCTGTGATCTTTGACAGCTCAAATAGTTGCATGAAGGGACACCAGGAGGCCGTACGTGCACCACAGTCACTCCCTGCCCCCTCCCTGGGCATGTCCTCTCTCCGCCCCCAGGAGAGTACATCAGGTCCACTAGAGACACGGTGAGTGAGCTGCAGAATAGACGGGGCAGGCAGCGGCAGGGGGGGCCTCGAAAAAGCATAAGTGCCCTGAGAACTCACAAGCTGCTGTTTTCGAGGGTGGCCTTTCTCTCACCCGCCCACCCCTATGTCTCCCCGCATTGCCGTCTGTCCCCCCACCACCCTTGATGAACACCCCGTGTGCTCACTGCCGCAGGGGAGCCTGCAACTGGGGCAGGGGTGGGTTATTCACCCAGGCCCTGCAGATCCGTCCTGCAGTCCAAGGGAGTAAGTCAAGTGAGTGGCTAGCAGTTCTCAATGTAAAACTTTTCTGCCATCAAATTTTGGAAACCCTTGCCACAGTCGACTGATAATGTGTATTTGTAGATGATAGAGTTGAGTGAAAAATCAGCAAATGAAAACTTTCTTCAAAGTTATATTCCATTCCTCCTTTTCTGCAGTCTTTTTTCTATGAACTGAAAAGATAAAACTAGGATACTATAAATAACTTTACATTTAACTTGGAAAAAATTTAAAATATAGAGAAACCTACAGGATAACACTCCCCTATTCCCTCCAACAAGAATTTTATGTGTATCCTGTTTTCTGCACATACCCACTTCCTTCTTACCCCCTTTGTTGTTCAATTGCTAATTCACGTCTCTTTGCGACCCCATGGACTGCAGCACACCAGGCCTCCCTGTCCTGCACCGTCTCCCAGTGTCATCTGCTCAAGCTTATGTCCATTGAGTCGGTGCCCTTCTCCCTAATTCAGGATGGTCTCATTTTCCCCTCAACTCTCGCTTTCCAGGATCACTGCCCTTTGTGCTCTGGTTTCAGTGAGCTTGTCCCTTCTTCAGGCTGGTGGTAAGCTTTTAAAACCTTTCCACATCACAGGGGCCTTTCCCTTTGCACTGGAGATGAGCTTTTACCGCTTTGGGCAGTGTTGTCTCCAAAACTGTGGGTGAGTCTGTAAGACTGAGATGGTAAAGAAAGCACCGTCGTGGGGCGGCAGGGACGGGGGAGGTGGGGCAGAGCTGATCCAGAAGCTGTGCCGAGCACAGCACCCCTGGGAAAGGCTCCTAGGTGTGCAAATGCTGGGTCAAAGGGCATGAGTATCTCAAGGCCATTTAAGACATACCAACAAATTGTTTTTCAGACAGACGTGCAAATTTACATGCTTACCGGTAAGGTATGACCAACTTTAGCAGTTTCCATTATTATGTTTGAAAACAAAGTTTGCCAATAGGATAAGAAAAAGGAATCTTGCAGATTGAATTTATATTTCTTGATTATCAGAAAGTTCAAATGTTAAAAAATATTCCTTGCCTATTTTATGACTGAGATTTTAGTATTTTTTCCCACCGATGTGTAAAAGTCTCTGAAATAAAGATAATAATTTCTAATTTTCTCTATTTGTTTAAAAGATTTTTGAGAGTCTGCTGAGAAAATACATATTGGTGGGAAAATGGGATTTGTTTTTATATTTATATATCTGATGAGCATTTCATTTTATGTATACCTTTATATCCTTTAACAGTAAGAGGGCTTTATTTTCACAATAGACAGTATGCCTGCATTTCCTGGTCTTCTGAGAGTGTGACATTCCCCAAAGGCATTTGTGACATCAGGATGCTGTCTGTGCCCATGAAGGAGTTTGAAAACTAAGTGTGTGCTAAGTCACTTTAGTCGTGTCTGACTCTTTGCGACTCTCTGGACTGTAGCCTGCCAGGCTCCTCTGTCCATGGGATTTCCCAGGCAATAATACTGGAGTGGGTTGGCATTTTCTTCTCCATGGGATCTTCCAGACCCAGGGATTGAACCTGTGTCTTTTATGTCTCCTGTTATGTGCTGTCATTCAAACCAGAGGGCCCAGCCCCTCCCTCTCAACTCTTCCCTCCTTTCTTCTTTTGCAGAGTGCATATCATAGCCCACGCGCTCATCACCCTGCTTCAGTAACTATCACTCTATGGCCATGTCAGTTCATCTCTGCCCCCATCCATTTTTTTCTCTCCCCAGATTCTTATGAAGCAAGTCCCCAGAATCATCTTTTTATCTAACTTTTATCTGTATTTATCTCTAAAAAATTATTAGAAAAAAAAAATAGAAACCTAACCACAGTGCATGACCACACCTAAGAAGAGATGCTAACTCCTTAATGTCATGAATGGCCAATGTTCCATCTTCCCTAATTCTCTCATTGTTGCTTTCACAGTTTACTTGACCACATTTCCATTGATTTTTATGTCTCCAAGTCTTTTGATAGGCTTCCCTTCCGTATCTCGTTCTCTCTGAGCAGGTCATGTGCTGAAGACACGAGCGGAGCCCTGTGGAATTCCTGCAGCCCATCTTGAGTCTCAATTAGATTTCATCTGATTTCTTGGGCTAGAATACATCCTCATTAGGGTGTGTGCTTCTCTTGGGAGGCACACAATGTCGGGATCTCGCTCCCTCTGTGATTGTTATTGATCATTGCCGACGTCCATTATTTCAATAGGGATTACAAAATACTGCCATTCTAATTCTAGTATTTCTTCTCTATTTATTAGCTTCATTTACCCTAAAAAGAAAAACTTCCTCCTATCATCTCTTTTGCTAGCTACCCAGGGGCACAGCTTGAATAGAAAAGGCAGACTAAAACCTTGATTCTTTCCAGATAGACTAGTTTTCGAAATATTAAGTTTGTTCCCTGGGAGCCTCCAATGATGATAAATGAGGAGTTTTTAAAATTAAAAATCTTTTTAATTACTATTTTTATTAAGTAGCATTAGAAACTTGTGAATTTAAACAATTTGATGTGTCTCAATTTATTGTAGATATTTATTCTTGCTGAGGCTTGTTGCCCTATCTTTGACCCATGGGAACCTCTTCAGGTTGGTTCCTGAGTCTGTTTGATCTGTCCTCACTATCTCTGATGGCATCCTTGTTTTCAGAGTGTCCTATGTTTCAGGCCTACTTCCTCCCCCAAATCTGGAGTCAGTCACTTCTCCAGTAAGCTGTGGTTCTCCTGGCCCTTAGAGAGGACCATCTGCATCCTAGGGGGTCTCACTGGCATTTGGTCAGTCATTGTTTCTAGGCCTTTTCAATGGGCAGAGCGAGGAAATATGAGTTCATTATTCTTAAAATACAAATCTATCCAATTTAAATTCAGAACTACAGAAGTTTTATTTAACCTGTTTTTTATATTTTACATGATAAATATCACAATTTGCAATGTATGGCATCAATATAATTACTCACTAACTTTACCCTATAGATATAAGCAATGCCTTAAAATAGCAACACTACCACCACCATTATAATTACTGACTGTGTGTATATATACACACACACATATATATGTATTTTTAACATGGATATGGATATTTATGTATACACTGTTTACATATATACTTTTCTGTTTTTTAGGGCATGGTTTCTCAGAGCACGTCTTATGTCAGAATGCTCCGTCACAGTGGCATAAAACCTGATGAAAACCTTACCAACAGTGACCTAAGTAAAATGGCAAAGTCCTTCTCATTTATTTCATTGCATCTTAAGCTTTGCTTCATCTAAGCCTTACCATATTTGCACACCTGCACATATTTGTACTAGGCTTCCTAGAAAACTATTCATGCCATGAAAGGCTCTCCTGCTTCTGAAGATGTCACACTAGCTAGGTGGGAGAGTCCAGGACTGAAGCATCTCACATGGGATGTACTTTTCAAATCCCTGGCCTCACTGTCCTTCTCCTTGAATGAATATGAAATCCTCTCCCCCAGACCCTTGTCCTTCCTGCCCCATCACTAAGAAGAGACGCCCCTGGAAGTTGGGTGGGTGGCAGCATGAATCTTTATATTGGGGAACCCTTTCTGCTTGACCAGGGGCCCCTTCCCTCCTCTCTACTCAGCACCTCCACTAGCACATTCCTCTCTTCCTGACCCTCAGCATCATTTACTTTCTCTGCTATTGAGCTGCAAGTAACTCCCACCTTAAAACATAACCCTCCCTTGCCCCTTGCCCCTCATGTCCCAGGCAGACACCACATTTTCTCTGCTTCTCTTATTCACAAACCCACATGTGCTTGTCTGTATGCATGTGGACTGCTTTCTCTTTTAAGCAGACTCCATCAGGATTTCAACTCGCCATTTACTAAACATCTCTCGCCATGATCATCCACGACTGCTCCCCACCCACCGCTGCCCCCTACTCTGACATCAGCAGGTTATGGCAAGCCTCAGATGTTACCTGGACTCCTCCTTGCCTTCCCAGAACACCACCATGTACTCCTGGCCCTGGGATGAGAAGAAGGACGTCTGCTTCCCGCAGGGCAGTTGGTACATGAAGGTTGCAAAGGTCGGGTCCTTCATCTGGCTCACCACCGCCAGGGCCAGTGGTCGCTGAGGGAGAGAGGCCCACAGGGTCATGAGTGAGGGTCACTTACAACCAAATGGGTGCCCACTCTGTCCTCAAAACTAAGGATCTTAAACCAGGAAGAAGTAGAATCTGCTCATTCAGGACCCAACCAAAACAAGAAGCCAAACCAACTTTAGATACCAGAAATAAACCCTTCCAAGCATCTGGGTCATCATCATCCATGGCAACTCAAAACCAGGTGGTCAGGTTAGCATAAGCTCTGATATTCCAACTCCTGTGTCCAGGGACACACAGTCATAGAAGAATTTTTCTCAGACCTCATTTATTCTCAATAACCAAGTCTAATGTGATAAATGAGTTTTTACCCTGAAACCATTGATCTCTTCCAAAATCAACTAGCTTCAAAATGGTAATATGATAATATGATTCCTGCTTCTCATGAGCAAACTTTCTCCCCATTCCTTTAAAAAGAGATATGTACATTTGCACTGCTCTTGCCTGGGGGCTATACTGCTATAAAGGGGTTGGTTTGCTTAACATAAAAGTTGCATAAAAGTTGGGGAGGAAAAGAGACTTTGTTTTTCCTGAGAGTGACACTCACACAAAGAAAATGAACTTGGTGCGTCAGACTAGTACATATCTCTTTGTAAGAGATGAACAGAGAAGGACCTACTTGTTTTAGACCCTCAGTGAAGAGTGGACAGGCAACCACACAGGTGTGCTCTGGAGACCCACCGCCCCCACCAGCTGCAGGAGCTGCGAGGCCCCAGGCTCTGGGACCCCAGGTACCTTTTCCGGCTTCGTATCCCAGCACTCCATCATTAGTGCCTGCAGTCGATGGAACTGCACTTCCTCTGGCTGACCCAGAACTGGGCGGATGCCCTTGGACAGTTTCTTGGCGATCTGAAGCTGGTGCTGGCCCAGTGCAGGCCGCTGTCCTGACAGCAACTCGTAGAGCACCATCCCATAGGAGAACATGTCTACCTGGGCAGAGAGGCAAGCCAAATCAGACACCCTGACCAGGCCCAGCAGATCTTGCAAGCTGGCCCTGAGAGAGAGGGAGTGGGGAGACACGTTAGAGAAGGAAAACGTGGGTTCTGCCCAAAGGAAGGCAATTATCAATTCACCAGTCCATCCACCTCTCCCCACCTTTCCAGGCATTCAACCAACCATCTGACCTTCCATGATTCTGTCCCCTAATCCATCTATCTTCCAGTCCTTTTTTCCCTTCCTTCCTCCCTCCCACCTTTCTATGAATCCATCTATCTACCCACACACATGATCACTTGCTCTTCTGCACATTTATCTGTCCTTCTGTCCAATGTATCCATATATGCAGCCCTTTGACTATCCTGCCCATTTACCCATCCATCTTCCCAAACTTCCTTCCATCCATCTACTAAACACATAATGAAAACCTGGTGTCAAGCACTGCATAAGGGCTTGAAGGATGCCAAGGTACTTTCCCTTTATCAAAACAAGGCAGGAAAATGCAAACCCTTGGTTTAACATGCTTGATAGTAGAAGTACATGCAAATCACAAAAAAGGGGAAAGTCTCCCAGATCACAACATCTTGATTCATTTAAATGCCATGAAAAATCCCCTAAAGGAGAGAGTGACACGGGTCTTCATAAAGGTCAAGAAATAACCTTATAGCAGGAGAATCGCTAAGATAGACCTGAGCATTTTCAATGTGAAGGTTCTGTTATAAATTTAGTTATGAGATGCTTTGCCGTCTGCTACACAGAAGCTTATTTTTGTCACTCTGATTTGCCCTTTCTATCTTGGTTAATAGCCACGGTGCTGAGTTAACATGCTTGGGTCATTCGTGAAGCCATCACGAATGATGGCTCAATGAGTCAATGACTCATCTGCAGGTCACCAAATAATGAGAAATTATAGACAAGAGGAGTTTCACTGCTGGATGACTAATTAGCCAGGGCCAGCCCCAGATGCAAGGTGAGCTGCAAGAGAGTTTGAAGTTGTCCTTTACCTGCACCTACCAAACAGTCCTCAGGGAAGAAGGCCTCGTCCCAGTCAAGGCTGGCCATGCGGCCGTCTAGGAGGCCGTGCTGGACCTGCCAGAATCACTCTCTCCTCTTGGCTTTAGTGACGCTGCCTTTTGATTTGACCAGGAGCCTTTAGCATCCTTATCTGTCTGTCCCTCACAAGCCACTGTGAGGCTGGTCCTCTGTCCCCCTTTTGCATATCTGACTGGCAGAACTGGGACCCATATCTGGGCGTGTCTCCGTCTTAGAATTTTTGTCCACTGTGCACAGCCTCTACTATGTTTCTGAACTGAGGTTTGAGAATTCTGGGGTTTGGTCACTGTTCTGCAGCTAAGGAGAAGTCACCCTTGATGTTTCTAGGTGGACACAGGCCTCTGTGCCCTTCTGGTTCATTCCAGGGCCTCCCGGTCAAGCATGGGAGAGGAGAGATGTGTGCCTGAGGGTGTGTAGAGCCCAGAGCTGCAGGTGCCCCGGGACCAGGCCATCCCGGGTCAGGGGACTGCCATGGGCTGGCCTGTACCTTCTCGTCATACACGATGCGAGGCCGGATCTCCGGGGCCTGGTAGCCGGGAGTGCCCTCCACACCGAGGGCGCCCTCGTGGAACGATTGCCGGGAGATGCCGTAGTCGGACAGCTTGATGTTGATGTGCTCCTTGATGTCCAGAGACCAGACCAGGATGTTGTCGGACTTTAGGTCACAGAAGATGATGTTTTTCTTGTGCAGGTAGGCCAGGCCAGAGGCTATCTGGTAGGCTATTTTTTGGGTGAGCATGTGTCCCAGGGGCATAAAGGAGGAATCTTGGCAAAGAAAAAATATCAAACTATTATCATAACAACCCTTCTTTTCTTACCTCTGTCTTCCCCAATATTTTATATTCTATGGATGCATTCTCATTGTTCTCCAGGCTGGGTGCCAGAAGAGACACAGGACGACTTTCTTAAGATGATTTAGGTTAGAAATGCTTGTTGTGAGTGCTTCATTCATGGTATCTCATGCCTGCAGTGGTTGGTGTTTTCACTAAAAAAAGCCAGGATTCAAAATTCCTAAAGTTCACCTCAGGCCAAGATTGCTATAATGTCAAGGAGTGAGTTGCAGGTATGAGAACTCTATTAAAAAAAATCTCCTCCGTTGAGGGAGAAATAATTAATTTTAATTGCATTATTCTTCCTGAGTTAAAAGACAGCTATCACTTTCCCTCTGTCAACTCTTTGGCATTTAGTTACCCATTTCTTAGGGTAAGTTTTCTAAAGTTTTGTTAAGAAAACAATGTAGGATAAAACTGACTGCAGGGCCTCAGATGTTTAACCATGGTGGATGGACACGGTGCCCTGTGGGCAGAGAGAGACTTGAGCGGCTGCTGGCTTCCCAGGCTCTGCCGCTTGGGGCTGCCTCTTTTGATGGTCTCGCTGCCCTCCAAGGGGGGCTATTACTTCCTTTTAAGGATGAGTAAATGAAGCAACTTGCCAGATTATGGCAGAGAACCTGCACTCAGAACACAGTTCTGTCTGGCTCTAAACAGAGAGCTCCTCCAGCTATGACAACGCCACTGCCCGGCACTTAGGCCTGGAGAAGCTCTCCTGTTTCCACCGGGCGTGGCACACGAGACTCCGGCAGCTGTGCCCGGCCCCGGCTGGCTCCCTGGGCCCTGTGCTGCCCGCCACTGGCCCTCGGGCCTCCCCGGGGCTGGACCGGGCCGGGCCCCAGGCAGCCCTCCGTGGAAGATTCTAGGTGCAGCGCGTACCTCTGGCATTCTCAGACAGCACGGTGTTGAGGCTGCCCAGTGGGGCGAGCTCCAGCGCGAAGCAGAGTGGGTGGACGCTGATGCCGATGAGCGACACGATGCAGGGGTGCTGCAGGGCGTGCAGCATGCTGGCCTCCTGCCGGAACTCTGAGAAGTTCCTCATGGCGTCGGTGGCCCGCAGGTGCCTCAGCATGGTATCTGCAGGGAGAGCTCGGCCGTCAGCGCTGCCCAGGGTGGGGGCTCCGCTAGGCTCGGAGCCACCTCTCGGGGACTCCTGGGGCTGGCCGGGGCCAGGACTTGCATCTCCGGGGGCTGCAGTATCGTCACCCAGAATTGGGCGCCAAATGGGGGCACTCCTGAGGCATCCGGGCTTGTATCAAGCCCCCTCCTTGGGCGCTATTCTTATCAGGTGCTACACTCGGGGTTCCGGACCCTCTGATGAAGGGCCGCACACTCCCACCCTCATCACCCACTCTCTGCCCACCCCCCAGCCTGCTGTTCACTGCCTAAGGCTCTCAGCCGCATCTCATTCCAAACCTGCAGTCCTGAGTGTCACCTAGAGCCTGGCAAGTAACCAAGCCTCCTCCACTCATCTGCAAGGATGCTGGGGGAGTGGTCACTGCTACCCACCTTACCCCTGCCAGGGGCCAGGACCGTGGAAGGCAGAGCGGACTACCGCCCTCTTGTCGGCCAGAAGGAAAACCACAGGGTGGTCATGGCCTGTGACAGGTCATCTCAGGCCAAAGAAGGAGCGTCTGGGGCAATGGTGGGCTGTGCTGTAACGTCCTCCCAGTGCCCTCGCAATGCACCCCACATGGAAGGCGTTTGCCTGAGTCCCGCTGAGGGGTCACCCTGAGGTCACTGAGCAGTATCCACCCGGTCCTGCTTGTCCTCTTGGGTCCTGATCTGTCCCTCCCCTGTTCAGATTTTAAAATCAGGAATCACTGGACATGGAGGTTAAAACAGCTGAAAGAAAATCTTGGCAGTTAAAATGGATCAACTGTGCCAGATGCATGTGTGTGCCAGACAAATTTGTTTTTAAGTGTAAAAGTTGTTTTTCACATTGGGCCTTTAAACCATTAATCATGTATTTTTGACTATGGCTGAAGTCTCTGCCCCAGTTTAGCGAACAGCCAGCCTTTCTCTTGACTCCCGATGTTGCCTCTGTCGTGTGCCAGCCTCTCGCGTACATGCAGGCTCTCTCTGTTCCCGACAGGCCCAGCCGTGCCCAGGAGTACCCTGCCCTAATGCCTGGAGCCTGGTAAGTCAGGATGTTTGCTGGGCAAGCCTCTCCTCTTTGTCTTCCATCATGGAGTTTTCCTGGCTGCTCTTGGGTGTTTGTCATTTCACATGCATTTTCTTTTTCTTTCAATTTTAATTTATTTATTTGGCCCTGCTGCATGGCATACAGGATCTTAGTTCCCTGGCTAGGGAGCGAACCCCTGCCCCCTACAGTGGAAACACAAAGTCTTAACCACTGGACCACCAGGGAAGTTCCGACATGAATTTTAGAGTCAGTCAGATTTCTCTCTCTTTCTCTCTCTGTCTCTCACACACACACACTGCTGGAATTTAGATGAGAACTAAATTGAATGATAGCTATTAATTATGTCTCAGTACCTTGTAGCTTAATGGCCGCCACAGAAGCATTGTCTAATGGGTCACTGTTGCCAAATTTGATGTTGAGCTCACATCTAGCAGCTTTATCACACTCTTACTGGCTCTGACGCGTGTTACTAGTCTCTTAGGTTTCCATTCTCGTCCCATGCCTATAGTTTGTCTCTTCCTTTCTAATCTGTTTCTTCATATTGTTCCACAATTCTAATTTTTCTACCAAGAGTGTAAATTCCTTCTGTGATCATGACGATAACCATGCTGAGCCAGGGGCAATGAGAAATGCAACATCCAGCAGCTGGAAGGTAGAAGGCTTCCATGGGCTCGCCTTCGGTGGGCACGAGGTGGTGGCAGGTGGCTCTGGAGCACCTCTGAGCTGCTACGATGAGTGGGCAAGGGCAGGAGGGGAGGGGGTGAGGGAGGAGCTACCCACGATGGCTCCCCAACCCACACATCTGGAGTGCCCACCATCCTTCCCTTAGTAATTGCGTGGGGGAGGGGCCCCAGGGTGAGGGGTCCACTTGAGGTCTTTGTGCCCAGCATGTGGGCACTGTGCTGGGCATGTAACAGATGGAAATTTTAAGGATGGCCCTCGCTCTTGGGGGCTCATGTCAGACAAGAAAGTCACCTCCGAAAGCAATTTCTAGTCCGTGCTTAGCCTGATCCTCAGTCCTGGCCCATGTCTCACCAGGCATAAAGCAGGACCACCCCTGGGGCCCACACCGGCATCACCCCCCTCCTCCGCTGCCTGTGTGGCCTCGGGCATCTAAGGTGGTACAGGTTTGGACCAAGGGAAGACATGCCTGAAAAGAAACAACCCAGGGCCCTGCTTACCTGCAGGGGCATTTGCAAAGTTCTTGAATTTCTTGATCTGGAATCGCTTCACAGCCACAGGCTGGCCTTGGTACCTGGCCCGGTAGATGACGGTGCCACTCCCGCCCTGGCCCAGGACGGCGCTCTCATCCTCACTGTGCTCCAGCTTGTTGTTCTCCAGGAAGAGCCTGCCAGGAACACCGTGTGTGTGCCGGGGGCTCAGAACAGACCTCCCTCCTGCCCCATGTTTCCCCACAGATGCCCGCTAAAGCTGGAGGTGGGTCCTGGCCTGGGCGGGTGCAAGAATGTGCTTGGCTATCAGTTCCCACTGAGCAAAGTCAGGGTTCAAAGCCACCTGGTGGGGGCGTCAGACAGAGCTGGGATAAATCCCAGCTCTGGGTAGATCACTTAGCTTCAACAAGCCTTGGTCTCCTCTGGAAAGGGGATTCATAACAGGAATGGTCTGAGGTGGGAATGCTGACTGGTATAGGATAGAGCTTCCAAAGGTGTTGCACGCAGAAAAAGAATTCCTGTGGACATTTTCATCCAGAAGACTCTATGCTTTAAGAGTTAGTATCTATTGGAAATTGCATTTATTTATTGCTAGGTTAGTTGTCTCACTTCTTATTATTAAGCCGGTACTTATATAAATGGGCATGTAGAGCTTCTGGCCAGTGTGGCTAGTGTCTCGACAACTGATAGCTAGGATTTCACCCAAAAGCAGGGATTTTAGACCTTCCCACCTGTTTGTATGTTATAATCCTAGATCAAAGGAAGACTTCTGTTGGAAGTACTGTAGTTCACTCCTGGGAGGGAGGGAAGGCAAATGGGGGGAGGGAGGAAGGGAGGGTGGCGGGCGAGCACCCCAATGTCCTCCCATCTCAGGGTCCCCCCAGCCCTGCGGAGGTCCCCAGTTCTTACTCCTTAGCTTCCTCTGCCAGGTGCCTCCACTGGAGCTCTCCTGACCAAACAGACTGACCCCTTCTGCCTCCCATCACCACGCAGTCTTGCCCACACCTTCCAGGAACAGATTGTGCAACAGATAAGTCTCTGTACAGCCCAACCACATCACACTCCAGGCAGGTGCAACTGTACCCATGGTGGACCTTGGTGATGCACCTGAAGAGGAACTGGGCTGTTCTCCAAATGCCCACCCCAAAACCACCTGTTCAGGAAGTGCAGTCCTTGGGAGCCTCCTGAGATGGGGAATCAGTGGGAATACTGGAGACCCCTCAGGGCCTTCCATCAGGACTCCTGAATAGGGACACAGGACGGGGTTTCTGCAGAGCCAGACTCTCCCTGCCTGCACCTGCCCGAACTCCCAGCTGGGGAGTGTGATGCTGTGAGGTCCTGGTGGGACATCAGCAGAAGTTTGCAGAGAGTCTGTGCTGGACTGTGAACCCTGTGCAGATTCTTGGGTTTTTCAACTCCCAGCCAAGTACTTTGGTTTAAGAACCATGCTTCAGCTTGTAATTAGATCCAAACCAACAGGAACAACCAACCTGGCTTCCTAGATTCCATATAGTAGATTCCAGAGCCCAGATTCAGTGGGGGCATAAAACATAAAAAAGGTTCAGCAAATAAATGAAAATGCTAAAATTTGGGGCTGCTTAATTGGGCATCCCATCATGAAATTTGATTCATACGTATATAAAACTCTGTATGTGGTCTCCAAGAGGTGATGACCCTTATGTTATTTTTTTTCTTTTCTTTTCTTTTTTAATGTTAAGGTTTTTTTTTTTTTTTTTTTTTTTTTGTGGGTGGTAATTTTATTTTTTTTTTTTTTTTTTTTTTTGCATTGGTGAACTGAGGTTTTCATTTTTTTTTTTTTTTATTTTTTTTTGCATTGGTGAACTGAGGTTTTCATTTTTTTTTTTTTCACATTGCAGTGGTTTTTGTCATACATTGAAATGAATTAGCCATGGATTTACATGTGACCCTTATGTTAAAGATCTCAGAATAAAGGGAAGTTATTTCACAGAAAAGTAGTATTGAATTTTCATTTCCACCAATGAGGTAACCGGGGAATAGGAAAAAGAACCGTGGGGGAAATTTCTCCAATGTAGGAAGTGGTTTCTTAGTTTAATAGACTCATCCAGAAGCCTGTTTTGGAGTCACAATTCTGCAGTATCAGAGTACTCTACATCCATTTTCTTGGGTCAGGGAAACAATTTGGAAAAAATGGTGATACAAATATTCTTACACCCCCAAGTTTAATTTTCTTTAAAGAAATCAGATACAGGAATTCTTTGAATAAGAAGACAACTCCAAAACACTCCAAAAACACTGCTAACCACCAAGGAATTGTATCCAGGGAGACCAAATCATGGCTTCTGGTTTCCATGACTACTTGGATTCTGTGATGGCTTCCTATAGGATGGGACCACAAAGTGTTTTTTCTTTTCTCCAACATTATCTCCCCAGTTATTATCTTAGATTAGTATAGGTAGACTCATCTTTAGGGACAGATTCAGGGGATCTAAATGCTCAGCATCAGAGCAGCAGTAAGGAGTCATTATTTGCCAAGAAAGGAAAAGGAGGTGGCAGGTCTGGGAGCGCTTCCTTCTTGGACACCCATGGATGTTTGTCTTCTATTCCTTGATCTGGAGGCAAAGTAGGAGTCAGAGAGGAGGGCCAGCTCAGTGGGAAAGAGTGCCAGCTAATGTGAGGGCGAGAGGGGGTGGGCCCCCAAGGTGACTTTGCCTCCAAGTGGTCTGCCTGCTGGCTGGGCCTATGTGCCTCACAAACAGAGAGTGACAGCCTGGTTCCCTTTAGGCAGCCTAGGCAGGAACCTAGACATCACCCAGGGCTGCATGGGAAGCAGTAGGTCTGCGCGTCAGCATTGAGGCCTACCTGGCCGGGAAGTCAGTCATGAACAGCTCGGGGACCAGCTCCTGGAGAGGCACTGGGAGGTCAGGGTGCCTGGGGCAGGAGATGAAGTCCCGCTCGATGGCTGTCAGCACGCAGTCTTCCATGTCGAAGTATTGCACGTCCTCTGATCTCTCACTGGGGTTGCTGTGCTGAGCCCAGGAGGCCTCGCAGACTGGGCAGGGCACATACTGCTCCATCAGTGGGGTCCCGTCACTTTCCGTGGCCGTCAGGGCTAAACAGGGACAGGGCGGGCGTCAGCTCACCTGAAGGCAGCTGCCGGCGGGCCCTGAGCAGCACCTGCACCCCCGGCTGGGTGGGCCTTTTGCAAGAGGAGGGGTCTGCCTACCCTGGCCTGAACCCCCAGGAGAGGCTGAAATGTGGCTGCCACACTCTGGTTCTTTCTGGAGGGCACTATCCTCAATCCTAAAAGACACTCACAAGGAGGGGCCAGCGATGCACTGGACAGTCGCCAAGGGGTGCAGACCCTGAGTTAGCTGGGCGAGGAGGTGCTGAGTTTGGGGATCCCTGTGCAGGATGCTGCCGGCCGGGTCTGAGCTACGCCACACCCAAATGACCAAGCCACAATCCGCAAGGAGCTGTTCTTAAAATTACCTTCTCTTAGGCCCCTTTCTACGCCTTTTCTCCTTGTAGGTCACCGTTCTCGTCAACATGCAAAGGACACCAGACCCTGGCGTCCAGAGCATGCCCAGCCCTGTCTCTTGTTTGCTGTGATGCTCTCCTGGGTAGCCAGCTCAGGCAGCCAGAGGGCTGGACCAGCAGGCCAGAGGGGGTGCTCAGACCCACTCTCTGCTCTCTCGGTCTCTAGCCTTGCAGCGCTCACAGGGAAGAAGTGGCCTGGTTTTGCTCAAACGGCCTCCTCCGTGCGGGATACCCCGCAGTGGGTTTGTCTCCAGTTCAGTAACAAAACAAACAGAGGACCTCAATGGCTCTACTTCAAAAAGTATTTTCTTTGGGTGGACTGTCAGTGAAGAAGCTGATCAAAGGGGCTGGAAAGGGCTCCGTGGGTGGCTGATCACTGCTGGGACTTGGGGGTTTGGGGTAGGCATGGAAGGAGAATGGGGGCTCTTGGCAGCTGTTTGTGGTGGCTTCCCTCCCACCCCTGTGCAAGGGCAGTTTCAGGCTCTCCTCTGGATTTCAGCAGCTTTGTCCTCACCATGTAAACAAGACCATGTGAGGCTCCTATCGACGGTCCTCCTAGACCACGTGCGGTACCTGGGGCATTCTTCCTGCAGGCTGCGGTGCCAGCCTGTAGGCACCTCCCCTCCAGGTCCACATCTCCCCCATGGCACCTCCGCCTATGCCTACAGTTGGACCCCCAGGGCTCAGGACTCCATCAGAGGGCTGCTAGGATCCTCTGGTTTCCTTGGGCTGAATCCCAGTGGGATTTCTGTTCTCCAAATGAGCCCCAGCCCAGTTTATAAAGAAATACTACCACAAGCCAAGGCCTGGTTCAAGAATTCTTTCTTACCGGGAAACCACTGATCAATCAAGGAGTTGACATGGTCTGTGATAAAAGCCATTGCCGAGAAGTCCCTTATTTCTGATTGGCACATGATTTTTATTCCTCCACTTTTTTTCTTTTTCCAGTTCACATCTGAGGATTCCACACTGCAACCCAGAAACCAAAAGAGGTCCATTGCAATTGGCTGTGAAGGGCCCTGGGGTAAGCTTTCCGCCTCCAGTGTGAGGGCACAGTTCCCAGGAGACCGCTCCCAGGGGGGAGGTCCTGAGTCCCTGCACTTGTGTGCATGGCCCTGCCTCGTCCCCCGGCTGCCCCCAAATGGGGAGGTGGACACGAGGACCTTGCCACAAGGGGTGCTCAGGCTGAGCTCTGAGCCTTAGATGTGACCCTGGGGAAGGGCTTCCCATCTGAGCCACAGAGCTTTCGTCCACCGAGTGATGACTGTGTGCTTTAAGTGGGAGCCTCACCTGAAAGCCCCAGGCACCAAGCGTGGCCCAAATCCCAAATCAAGCCCTCACAATAGTCACTCTCCCCTCTCCCCTCTCTTCTCACAGAGCTGAAAAATATTTGGAAAAACTCACTTAAAGTATGAAATAATCTTGCATATACTAAATTAAACCAAATAAAAATCAGTTATTAACCTGTTGAGCTGCCTTTTTCTCTCCCTCTCTCTCTTCCCCACCACCAAAATAAAAAGACAAAATAGGAAAAATGTACTGTTAGGTATCACGGGATGTGGTCTGGGGACAGTGTCTGCCCCGGGGCGCCCTCTTAGGACGAGGGTGTGTGTGCTGGACGGCTGGGGACAGTGTCTGCCCCTGGGGTGCCCTCTCTTGCACGAGGCGGGGGTGCGCAGGACGGCTAGGGACAGTGTCTGCCCCTGCGGCGCCCGCTCTTGCATGAGGCAGGGGTGCGCGGGACAGCTGGGGACAGTGTCTGCCCCGGGGGTGCCCTCTTAGGACGAGGGTGTGTGTGCTGGATGGCTGGGGACAGTGTCTGCCCCTGGGGCGCCCACTTTTGCACGAGGCGGGGGTGGGCAGGACAGCTGCGAGGCTCCTGAGGACTACCCTCAGTGACCGGGGTGCTGGGTACTCCAACCCTGAGCTTTGCCTTCCTGCCTGGCTCAGTCCCCACACCCTCCCTGGCCTTTGCTGTTCTGTCAGGAGAGAGGGGGAGGAGGGAGGAGACGGGGACCCTCTCAGACGTTTGCCAGGGGGCCTTCCTACTTCCAGCAAGCTTCCATGATGCACTGCCCTTGGGAACGGGGCTCTGCACACCAAGCGGACAGGCGTCCAGTGGCAGCTCTCCTGGGGGCCGTTTCCAGCGCGCCATGGAGGCCCAGTCAGGTGAGCCCCTCATGCACCTACCTGAGGTAGCCCCCATCAAAAGTGACCAGGAGCCCCTCCTGCCAATAGATGGTCTGGTTCCTTTTCACTCTGAATGTGCTGCAACGATTTCTCTGGTTTCCTGTAAAACTATAAATGGTGACTTTCCTGTGCCTGCTCTTAGTGTTCTTCCTGTTTTCAAACAGCTGAAAGACAGAGAAAAGACCCTGCTTCAGTATTCTGGGCTCCGTGCTGGTCCTGGGCAGAGCTGTGAGAAGGCCGGCCTGGCCCCATCTGGACAAAGGACACTGCCTGTCTTCCCGCCCCCCTGCCCTCCGCACCCTCATCTTGCTGCCAAACGAAATGCTGCATCATCTGAAGGAGTCTCCAGGATACTCTGGGAACACATTTTCCCTAAAACACTGAAAACAGGCTTTTCTTTTCCCTCCCTGACTTTACAAGCAAAAAGTTACCTTAGAAAATGTGGAAATTACAGAGAAACATGAGAGAAAATAAAATACCAATTTAACACACAGGTCATGAAAATTTTGGTGTATCTTATTCTAGGTTTTTTCCTATCTACCTGTAATGTTTATAAAACAGCTGAGGTCATATTTTGTAACTTTGCATTTCTAAATTTCTAATTGTGTGTACTTTGAAAAACTTTGCTTTTCCTGTCTCAATAGAAACTCATAAAATTCATTTTTCTAAATCTCAATATTTTATTAAGTAATTTGTTGAGTCATTCTCTTCTTTGGACTTTTAGATTGGTTCCAGTCTTTTGCTCTTCTGGATAAGCCAAATGAACATAAAAAAAGCAGTGCTTTCTCTGATTTCAAATGACTGCTATAGTTCAGATTTATAGCGGTAGGATTACTGGGTCAAAGGGCTTGAACGTCTTCAGGCTCTGGATTCTCAGTGACGAATCGCTTCCAGGGTGACTAAGTTGTATGTCCACTCACCATGACGTGCGAACTTCCCTGATTGCGGGGCTGGCTGTCAGCTCTCTGCTAATTTGATAGGTGAAAAGTAGTAATATTATCCATGCTTGAATCTGCATACCTTTAATTACTTCTGAGACTGAATTCCAGCAGAGCTTCTCTTCCTAATTCTGAGTGGGGGATGCTGCTGTGAAGGGCGCCCACCCGGCCAGCCACTGAGCCCCTTTGGGAGCTCAGGCCTCACACGATGCCGTGCTCGGGGTGACCTCCCACTTAGAACATGGCAGGAAGCAGAGTTCAAAAGAGGGAGAGTGACCGAGCGGGAACCCTGGGAGAGCCGGCCCTGCGCCCACTCCTTCCGTCTGTCAGTGCACCCAACTGGGTTTCTAACAAGCCTCCTTCCTGATGACACAAGCTGTGAGAGGTTTTGGTACTTTCAGGCTCTTGCATTTACTTTTGAACATTTCAGTAAAATGGGAAGATCAAAGAATATCTCTGTTTAATAGGCAGGAAGTTTAATTCCATAAGGGCCTTATAACTTGAACATGGCAAAAGCAAACTCATACTGAGTTTACTGTCCATTATTCAACAATCCTGGCTTATGTCAGGGGTTCTCACAGGGCGAAGTAGGCTGGAATTCTCTGGAAGGCTGAGAAACAGAGCCCTGAGTTCTATGCTGGTGTTTCTGATGCAGCAGGTTTGGAGCAGGCCTGAGGGCTTCCCGGATAGCTCAATTGGTAAAGAATCCGCCTGCAATGCAGGAAACCCTGGTTTAATTCCTGGATCGGGAAGATCTGCTGGAGAAGGGAAAGGCTACCCACTCCAGTACTCTTGGGCTTCCCTTGTGGCTCAGCTGGTAAAGAATCCGCCTGCAATGCGGGAGACCTGGATTTGATCCCTGGATTGGGAAGATCCCCTGGAGAAGGGAAAGGCTACCCACTCCAGTATTCTGGCCTGGAGAATTCCATGGACTGTATAGTCTAAGGGGTCACAAAGAGTCGGACACTACTGAGTGACTTTCACTTTCACTTACTTTTATATTGGTGTATAGTTGCTTTACAGTGCTTTCCTGGATTTGATCCCTGGATTGGGAAGATCCCCTGGAGAAGGGAAAGGCTACCCACTCCAGTATTCTGGCCTGGAGAATTCCATGGACTGTATATCTAAGGGGTCACAAAGAGTCGGACACAACTGAGTGACTTTCAGTGCAGATTCACTTTGAGAATCTGGACTTCTAACAAGTTCCCAAGGGAGGCTGATTCAGCTGGCCCAGGAACCCCACTTTGAGAACCACAGATTCTGGCCAACTACCACTTCTGTATTATTGTCTTGAATGAAATGAATATGGACTGATAGCCAAGATCTCCTCCAACAACCCCAGGTGAACCCACAGAAAAGAACTCCTTCGGTTAGTTAGGGCTTTACTCCTCCCAGACCAAGTTAAAGCTCTACGCTAGTGGTTCTCAAGCCTGAGTAGACAGTAGAGTCAGCTGGAGAGCTTTAAAAAATGATCCCTGTGAGCCACACCCACAGATTCTGACTTGTTGGTCTGGGTCTATGAAGACCTCCCCAGGGGAGTTCAGCCACAGCCTGAATGGCAAAACCAAGGTTCTCCAGGCGTCACCCCCGAGCAGCAGCATGCTCAAGGTCAGTGCTGGGATAAGCAGACTCTGAGTCCCGGCCCACAGCCACACAGCCAGGGAATGTGGATGTTGGTAACACTGGAACCACTGCTCCTCATGGGATAGTCTGTCCAAGCCAGCTAGGTGCTGATTTGGCATTCATAAAATTACTCAAGTGGGTCTGTAGCCCACAGGAAGAGGAGGCAGCCGTGTTGTACCAGCCTCCAGACCCTAAGCCAGCAGTTCTGCTGCAGGAAAGGGTCTTCAGTCAGGCTTCCCCCTCCCACTGCCACCAGGGCATAGCCACAGGTGCTTGGCCTGCAAGCGAATAGTGCCCTGTGCAGAGAACGCAACTACCTGGAGGTCCATCTCTGCCAAGCTGATCAGCATCCGTGCTATAAACCTCTGCCAGAAGCCAACCGGAACGAAGCTCATCTTAAACACTCTCTGAATGGTGTTGGCTGTGGGGTGCCGCATGCCGTGGGTGTCCAGGCCGGGTTTGGATGGAAGGAGATGAGGCAGGAGATAGCTGAAACACCAAAGGGGGCTGGTGAACCGGGGCCTGAGCTCTGCTGTGGAGCTCTGACCCCTGAAGACCGCCTGGCCAGGGGCGGGCTCTGCTGAAACAGCTCAGGTTGCCCGATGCTCTCCCCCCAGGACCTTTGGAACCATTTTTAGAAAGAGGCGGTAGTTTATATGGTGAGCATAAATACTCCAAGAGAAAATGAAGATAGGCATAGCGAAGTCCCTAAGATAGGGACTAGAACACGGCTACAGAAGACATGAAAACAACTGTGGTCATAATCACAGACACAACAAATCACAGTTGATTATCTATAAAACGGGCTGCGATTGGGGAGTCACTTAAAATTAACTTCGGATGGTGAAGGAAAAACAAATACAGCTGCACAGTTCCAAGGACAAGATATTGGGGTCAGAGAAACATCTTTGGCCTTAGAAGCTATTTATTGTTCTTGGCCAGTTGAGACAACACAATTACCTAGAAATTTCGAATGAGGCTCTTTGTGCAAAAGAACGATGTTTTATAAGAGCACTCTTACTCATAAAAGCACTGAATCACAGTGTCAGTGAGCTGTTCATGACTGTGATCATTTGCAAAAAGCTGAAACGAGGGAGGTCCCTCCAATAATTCCCTGAAAACCAGCATCTTCTGTGTGTCCTGGAGGAGCTAAGGTGGCCTTGGGCAGAGCCTTGGGTGTGTCCTTAAAGGCTTGCCTTCAGTTCTCCTAATCCTCTAAAATTCCATCAGTTTAGGTCCTATAAAATGTCTTTAAGGCTTCTGAAAGGAACCCCTGAAGACACTGAAAATTCAAAGACAGCCTGGGGGTGGAGTACCCAGGGTGTCTTCAGCACACGGCTCAATCCCATTGCCATTCTGCTTCCTTGACGGCAAAAGAGTGAGGATGCCAGCCTTGTAGGGTTAGAGAAGGATGGGCAGTGGCTGTGCAGGTGAGGTCCAAGGGGACAGATGGTGAGGTCCAAAGGGGACATATGGTGAGGTCCAAGGGGACAGATGGTGAGGTTTTGGTCTTTTTCAGCCATTACAGGTCTTGGCCCAAAGGACCTTGTCAATGACCCCAGCTGGAGTGCCCCTCTCCACAGCCTGGCATTCTCTGGCAGATGCCTTTCAGTTCTGAGAAGTCCTTGTTTATCTCTCTGACCTCAAACAGGAGGACCTGGTCAGTGCCCAGTGAGACCTAGCCTGCTTCTTCTGCCTACATCATGCTCTGCTTGGGACCTGGGACTTCCTGACTCTATGTGGCCGGTGTGCCCTGAGGGAGGGGGCATGCTCTGTACCCAGGTGCCCCAGCATGCGGCACACACAGCAGGTGTTCAATATATTTGAAGGTACAGACAACTTGAAAGCCAGCACGGCAAGTGGAGAGGTTTAAACTGATGGACAAAGGAAGCCCTTCTCAAAGGGAGTGGAGCCCTGGGCGAAACCACTGGCATCGGCTTGAGAGCAGCCACTAACAGGGCAGGGCTGCCCGGGGAGTGAGTTCGGGGAACTAAGGGGGAAGTTCTTTGTGTGCCTGCTGACTAAAGCCAAGAAGACCTGGGCACTGCAGGGGGTTTGCACTAGTAGAGCCGGCCTGTGACACGTCCCAAGGCTGTCTCAGCAGTTGGGTCGGAGCCTTCCGGAGTGCTGAGAGCCAGTGCGTCCCCCCTTGGAAGAAGCACAGACACTCAAAAGTGTAGGGAGGTTTAGAAACGCCCTGAAGGTTTTCCCAGGGACTGCAGATTGAAAGCCACACTTTAAAAGGAGCAGCAAATGCCTTTGTTTTTGTTGACCATATAAAAGCTTATGGTGCAAAGAACTGAAACTCCTTGCCTCTGGGGTACAAGGGACCCATTATACCTACACTTGGAGGTAGGTATAATGCTCAGACACTCCTGACTTTAGATGGAACTAGATACCATTGTCTACGAGTACTTTAACGCAAAGATAGTAACAATAACAGCATTGACGACCCTGAAGCTCAAAGGTGCAGGAGATATGTTTCATAGTTCACAGGTACTCTCTGATTTAATCCTCACATTGACTATAATACTAGTAGGTGATAGTATTATTTCTATTTTACATATGAGCAAAAAAAAGAGGCAGTTGCTTTTACAGAGTATTTCCTCATTCCTCTAACCTGTTGATAAAATAATCAGAAAACTGTCAAATTCTGGCAGTGCTGTAAACACACAGCCTGCTTTACCAGAGGTCAAAGTCAAGGACACCTGGGCCAGGACATGAGGTGTCATGTGGATTCTGAATTCCTCTTTGGGGTTTCTCTTTTTAGGACTCACTGTTGGTCCCCATGGGCCTGAAGCAGGAAGGACTGAGGCCCCTCCCATAGTCATTAGACCAAGTGGAAATCTGGGTGGGAGCTCAGGCAGAGACGGACCACAGCTGGCTCCCAAGAGACCCAGTCTGTGCTGATGAAATTGTTCGGCTGGCCACACAGGGGCCAGGCCAGCCTTCCGAGAGTCCAGAGGGTGTTCCCCCGGAGCTCTGGGGTTAAGGGGCCGGGTAGTGCTGTGTTCTATGACAGGCATCAGAAGGGTTTGGGGATTTGGCATCCTGGCTACTGCCTCACCGCCAACATCAGCATCAGACCCATGAAGTGGCTGAAACTGAAGTTACAGCAAGAAGGCCCTGAGAACCAAGCCAGAGCGCCGTTAGATTGAACCCACATACCCCTCGAGTTCCTGCCCTCCCTACATTTTGAAACTAGGCTGTAGAGTTAGCATGCACACTTTTGTACTCCATTTTTATTCATCACAGAACCGATAACCACCCAAAGCATGAACTCCCCAAAGTCACTTTTAAGGCCCATTGCCATGCTTACACATTTCCCTATGATTTTCCAATAAATGGGTTTCTTTGAACCCCCCTGAACAGAGACACCCAAGGCACAGGGCGGGGCAGCCAGCGGGGGAGCGGCTGAGCCCGACCACCCTGCCCCAGCCCAGGCAGGCAGCCACTGTGAGGGCCCATCCTTGGACACCTTGTCAGACCACCAGGGGCCCTCGCCCTAATTCCCGCCTGCGGGGAGCAGCCGGCTCGGCCCAGCCCGCAGCCTCACCTGTCGTTGGCGACGGGCAGGGCGATCTCAAATTTGGCCAGGAACTGGAAATACTGCTCTTCCGTCTGCTTCGTGAAGCCAGTGCCAAGCAGCAGCAAGCGCAGGTCCTCGGCCCTAATCACCCCGTTCTTGGCCACCGACCGCGAGCCCTTGATGTTGAAGATTCTCTGCAGACACTCGGACAGCCAGATGGGGTCGAGGAAGTAGAGGTTCCTCAGGCCGTGGCTGGTGTCGGGGAAGTGCAGCAGGGAGCCCGTTTCGATGAGGAAGCTGATGGCTGCCCGGGGAGGGGAGGAGGGGGCAGCGTCAAACAAAGGGCCGAAGGAGCTCTGGGTGACCTCCTCCCAGGGCGCCCAGCCACAGATTCTTCTTAGGAAGCAACAGTGCTCCCAACACACGGGACCCTTCGCAGCAGTCAGCTGCCTCCTCACAAGTTCTCAAGAGGCCAATGTACTGACCGCCATAATTCATACATTCCACCCGTGCAAATCTGCTTACGCGTTAAAATGGATTTGCGACCCCAAATCGATAGCTGAAGTCTTTGCCGTCATTTGCAGATGTGCACAGGGCAGTGAAAAGTCAAGGTGCCCCTCCCCAGGACACCGCCCATGGCTGTGCCTGCTGGCACCCAGCTGAGCCCTCGTGGCCCTCCCGCCCAGCCCACCCACCAGACTGCAGGTCCTCATAGTCCCGGATATCGCTGCCGGGCATCTGGTCCACCAGCTGCTCCAGCTGCCGGTCTGTCAGGTACTGCACGTCGTCGCTCAGGCTGCGGCGCTGTTGCTCCGCCAGCACGGCCTCCTGGAGGCTCAAGTAGCTCCTGGGGATCTGGGGTGGGAGGGAAAGGGTGGACCCTCGGGGCTCGGGGCACCTGCCTGCCTCCTGAGGACCAGGCAGGTGGGCTGTCTCTGCCACAGTCTCCCCACTTTCTCCTAGAAACCGCTCACACAGGGGCCCCAGGGCCCGGCACACAGCACGCACAGCAGTGCGCTTCAGGGCAGGGGGAAGAGGGAGGTGCAGACGCCCTGACAGGCAGAGAGCAGGCCCTTCTGGCTTCCAGGGGGTGAGGGGAACCCACCAGCCTCCTGCTTCCTGGGGATGAGGGGAATCCACCAGCCTCCTGCTTCCAGGGGATGAGGGGAACCCACCAGCCTCCCCACTTCCAAGGGATAAGGAATACCCACCAGCCTCCCTGCAAGTCGCTGGCAGCCTATGGTGCTGCCCACGTCCTTCATGTTGCATGTGACCTGGAAAATGAGCTGCCGCAGCCCTTCCTGACCTTCCAGGCTCTTACAGGAGAGTTCGCTGTGGGTACAAAAACGAAGCATGTGCACTCACCACACCCCCCTCTCTGACCAGCACTGCAGGGTCTCTGTATTCCCAAAGGTTCCATCCCAAATACTGGCAAGTTGAGAAAGCTCATGACGGACAGACACAGAAGCTCACTGAGGCCTGATGTGGTGCAGGGCGCGGTGCTGGGGCTCCACGGTCAGTCTTTCCAGTGTGCCCATGTCAGCCCCCCACGGCACCCTCGCCCGTCCCAGCCCTCGAGACCACTTGGACCCAACGGGAGGCCCAGGGCCGTGCCTGGGGGCTGTTCTTGCTCAGTGATCAACAATGTTCTGGGTGGTGTGTGCGCTTCTGTCTCCTGGTGCCACGGGGCTGTGCGTAGCACTGAGCCTGGCAGCAGGGAGACCCGTATGGGAAGTTCGGACAGCGTCTCCAGGCCCCACCCTGCAGGTCCTCGGCAGCGCCTCACCTTCCCCAGGCCGAAGCTGCCACACTTCACCCTGGACGGGGCCCCAGAGGAGCACAGCGCCCCCTGAGCAGCCCCGTGTGGGCAGAGCAGCTGTCTCTGGAGAGACAGACAGTGAGGCAGCCGCGGCCCCGAGAGGCTGGGGGCACAGGACGCTGTGGGACACTCACTGTAGGTGTTTACACGTGATGTCTGGGAAGCCAGTGGCCCTGGACCCAGAGGGTGAGCGGCAGAGGGCCAGCACATAGGCACGCAGAGTGGCAATCCTCTCCACGCGGAATTTGGTTTCAATTAAGTCCAGGTGTGTTCCCACCACCAGCACCACGGCGTTTGGGGCCTTGGCCTGCAAAAAAGAGTCTGGGCTGAGGACGGGAACAGTCCCCTGGGCGGCGGCGTGACAACCCTGGACACCCAAGTCCCTCGGCCGGCGCCCCGCCACAGCCTGTACTCCTCTCTGTAAACCTCGAGGGCCTGCGCACGCCGGGGACGTGTGAGGGTCCCCGACTCCTCCCTGGGGTCTCTACCTCTGATTCCTCAGGCCGCACCCCACCTCCTGGCCCACATCACCTTTCCACTGCAGGAGGAGAGCCCTGATCCCCTCCTAGGTCCAAGATGCGGGGTTCCGCCACCGAAGGAAGCAGCAAAGGACAAGGGCACCATCAACCGTGTAGCGGAGGAGGGACAGAAGGCTGCGTTTCACAGCGATCTGTGATCCTGGGGCCTCCGTGACAGCACAGCCAAGCACACCCTGGGTCTCCCTACCCGTCTTCTGTGCCCCCACCCCAGCCCTGGGAAGTGCTGGGGCACCTGCGATGCCCTGAGGACTGAAGGCTGGAGGGTGGGGGCCCCCTCACCTCGATGTTGAGCAGCCAGAACTGAAGGCTGGCCACGGCCTCCTCCCCCAGAGCCAGGTTCCAGACCACCACATACAGGGCCTTGTCTGTGAAGAAGCACTGGTTGACCGTGGCCATGCTGGCGGGGCCGCCGATGTCCCAGACGGTGAACTCCACAGACTCAACCTACTTGAGCAACAGGGCAGCGACATGACAGGGAGACACTTTAGCAACCAGGGCATTAGCCAATCCCACTGAGAGAACTGATCCCTCAGCACGTCGCACATGGGGGTCTGGAAAAGGCGCAGCTGCGGAAAAGCACTGCCTGCTCTACTGTGCGTCTCAGGGACCAGCCGTCTGAGGGACAGAAGGGGGTCCAGCAGCCCCGAGGTGGGCTCTGGGGGGTTCTGTCTCCTGCTGCGGAAGCGGTGGGGGCTGGACGGCTGGCTCCCTCAGGCGGGGGTGTCTGTGGAGCGCCGGAGGGCGCTGTCTGCGTCTGTCTCAGGTGCGGGAGGTGAGGGGACGCCTGTCAGAGGAGCCTAAGGCTGACAGCAGCGCTCACAGCAAGACTGATGCTCCCTCTGAGTACCAGCAAGTCCACGCAGATGGGCTGCCGGACTGCGCCAGCCAGAAGGTGGCACCCCCCGAGGGTGGCGGCAGAGGGTCCTTATGGAGCACGCTAACAGAGGTCAGCTGCGGGGCTCTGGGGGAAGCCTGTGTGAACGGCGGTTTCTCTATCGTGCTATGAGGTCAGAGTCTGGCCCGAGCTGCGTTTCTTGGTGGCAAAGAATCATTCCCACCATGCTGCAGCTTGGCCTCCAGAACAGCATGCTGACCGGCTTTTTCGGTATAAAGATGAAAATGGACAGCTGTTCTAAGCTGGCTGAAGGCCTGGCCACACAGAGAGTTACAGAATTGAGCGTTTACAAGATCAGGTGGTTGTCCTTCACTGAAAAGAGTAGGCGGAAACATGAATGATGGCAGAAAGGAAGTGGGGTGGGGGGGGTCACTCCTCAAACCTCAGATCTTTGCTCAAGAACAGCTGGAAAAAAGTGACACGGAATAACAGCCTAAAAAAGCAGGAGAGAATCCAGAGATTCTGGTTACTTTCAAAAACCTTTGGACATGTGTTACCTAGGTTCACTTCTGGGGTTTTCTGGGGAAGGGGCAGTGCTGGTGTTAATTATTTGACTGTTCTGGCCCTAGTGGGCAGATCTCCACTCTCTAGAGAACTAGTTTCCAAGTCCATATTAAAATATACATTCATCCACCTCACTACAACCAACTCAAATTCACTCCTTTTTATGGCTGAGTAATATTCCATCATGTATATGTGTCACAAGTTCTTCATCCATTCATCTTTTGATGGACATCTAGGTTGCTTCCATGTCCTGGCTATTGTAAATAGTGCTGCAGTGAACTTTGGGGTATATGTATCTTTTTGAATTGTGGTTGTCTCAGGGTATATGCCCAGTAGTGGGATTGCTGGGTCATATGGGCTTCCCTCATGGCTCAGCTGGTAAAGAATCTGCCTGCAATGTGGGAGACCTGGGTTCGATCCCTGGATTGGGAAGATCCCCTGGAGAAGGGAAAGGCTACCCACTCCAGTATTCTGGCCTGGAGAATTCCATGGACTGTATAGTCCATGGGGTCGTAAAGAGTCAGACACAACTTAGCGACCTTCACTTTCACTTTTCATGGTAGTTTTATTGCTCGATTTTTGAGGACTCTCCATAACAGAAGGAGCCTAACCTGGTATTCTGTGTGACCTAGAGGGTGGTGGAGGGAGGATGAAGAGGGAGGGATATATATATATATATTTTACACACACACAGTTATAACTGATTCACGTTGTATGGCAGAAACCAACAAAGCACTGTAAAGCAATTATCTTCCAGCTAAAGAGATTTTTTTAAGTTATAAAAAAATAGACATTCAGCTTAGATGTCTAATGACTCACATTGGATTCCCGTGACTTGCAAAGTGATTTTATGTGAAAGACTCTGCAACAAAATTAGTCTCCAGCTGGCCCTGTGCTGGGGGCTGTGGGGAACACTACGCAGCCTCTGGCCTAAAGGCTGCCGAGTTTTCCACAGATGACCTCCTTGCGCCTGTGTCCCTGTGTGGCCACGTGTATGCCACACACACAGCAGTGAGTAAGGGAGGCATCACTAGCACCTGCTCATCCCTTGGGCTGGGAGAAAACAGGCTCCCTTTTCTGATTCAAGTGTAAGACTGTTCTCGCTTTCATCTGTCTCATACTAAATGGAGAACAGGATGATTAACAGGTTCACTGAAGGACTCATTTAAAATAGGGCTTAGAAAGTGGACTTTTCAGAACTTGGGGTGAAAGCGGGTGTCAAGGAGGACAGGGCCTTCATTCTGGGGCTGCCTTCTCGGCCTTTCGGCTAGGGGTAGCTACTGGTGTGTCTCACTCCTACAGTGGTAGTTCATTCTCCACCATGGGGAAGGGCCCTGTCCCAGGCCATCTGAATCACAGTCCTTGGGGTTAGAGCTGATGAGGCCTGGGCATTGTGGTCTTTAAAAGCTCATCAAAGAAGTCTAACCATCAGCCAGGGTTCGGAACCACTGCCCTGGAACCTCAGCTCAGCTATAAGAGAAAAAAATACAAGGACATTTAAGAAATGATTCACTGTCCTTGGCAGGAGCTGATTAGAAACAGTACATGATGACTCTTGCAAATATCCTGGGACTAAGTCCTGGGCTCTCTGGAGAGGAGGAAGCAGGGGCCCGGGGCACGCCCTCCCTCCCACAGGGACTCTGCACGCCGATCATCCTTGACCTTGGCTCTCGAGCCAGCCGGCCTCTGCAGCTCCCACTTGGTGGTCCTGATGGTGGCCTCGCTGTGTACCACCTGGGGGGCCCTCCCCGTCTGTAAGATCTCCAGGAGGGTGGACTTGCCCTGACGCGGCGGACCCACGATGATCATCTTCATCTGCTTGCACTTCTCTGCTTTCCGCAGCTGAGCACGCAGGTAAGACAGCATCGCTTTGGGGCCTGTGCAAAACCACAGCGGGGCAAAGGAGATGCTGCTGCTGACACAGAGGTGGGAAGACACTCACAGCTCTTGAGAATCAAAGTCTTGTCTGAAGGAACACTCTGTGTATTCTAATGGGATAAGGGTAGGTAGGGACTGAGAAGACTTTTGGGTCTATGGAGAGAAGGTGTGATACAATTCACCCCAAAAGTGAAATCTAAAAGTCAGGGATCTAAAGACAGCATCCTAGGTGCTACGAATCACACAGTCTGGTCACATGGCCCACAGCCACCATCGAGTTCTGGAGAACTTGACACCATCTTTCCAAACAAGGGAGCTGGAGGGAGGCTCCATGGGTCCCCAGGAGTGTCTGCTCCAGGTCCTGAACAACTAGACTTGAGCGTCTTTCCCTGGGGCGCAGAGGGCGGGGTTGTGATGCTGAGGAAGCCCTACCTTCTTTTCTGATCTCTGCAGGCACGTTGCCAATATTCAGGTCTTCAATGTCCAACTGCCAGAGGTTGCCCAGCTGCCCCAGCTCAGGAGGGAGCTCTCGGAGGCTAGGATTGCTGAGGGCATACATGCACCATGGGAGAACACACACGCACCATGGGAGAAAACACACACCACGGAGAACACACACACACCACGGGAGAACACACACACATCACGGAGGAACACACACACCACGGGAGAACACACACGCACCACGGGAAAACACACACACAAATACCACGGGAGAAAACACACACCACGGAGAACACACACACACCACGGGAGAATACACACGCATCACGGAGGAACACACACACACCACGGGAGATCACACATGCACCATGGGAAAACACACACACAAATACCATGGGAGAAAACACACACCACGGAGAACACACACACACCACGGGAGAATACACACGCATCACGGAGGAACACACACACCACGGAGAACACACATACACCACAGAGAACACACACACCACAGAGAACACACATGCACCACAGAGAACACACACACCATGGAGAACAAACACGCACCACGGGAGAATACACACGCACCACGGGAGAACACACACACCATGGAGAACACACATGCACCACGGAGAACACACATACCACAGAGAACACACATGCATCACAGAACACACATACATCACGGGAGAACACACACGCCACAGAGAACACACACATACCACGGGAGAACACACATGTACCACAGGAGAACACACACATACCACGGGAGAACACACACCACGGAGAACACACACGCACCAAGGGAGAACACACACGCCACGGAGAACATACACGCACCACAGGAGAACACACACGCACACGGGAGAACACACACACCACGGAGAACATACACGCACCACGGGAGAACACACATGCACCACGGAGAACACACATGCACCATGGAGAACACACATACACACCACGGGAGAACACACACACACCACGGGAGAACACACACACCACGGAGAACACACACACACCACGGGAGAACACACACACACACACACCATGGGAGAACACATATGCATCACGGGAGAACACACACGCACCACAGGAGAACACACACGCACCAAGGGAGAACACACACGCACCATGGGAGAACACATATGCATCACGGGAGAACACACACGCACCACAGGAGAACACACATACACACCATGGGAGAACACACACGCACCATGGGAGAACACACACACCACGGAGAACACACACGCACCAAGGGAGAACACACACACACACACCATGGGAGAACACATATGCATCACGGGAGAACACACACGCACCACAGGAGAACACACACGCACCGTGGGAGAACACATACACACAGCAGCCTGTCAGCCTCCTGGGCCTGTGGAGGCCACTGACAGTCTGTACCCCAAACCAAATATCTTAGGCCCTGATTTCAAGTGTTTCATTTAAATACTAAATCCAAAGCCTTTCCAAGTGGCGCTAGTGGTAAAGAACCTGCCTGCCAATGCAGGAGACACAAGAAATGCAGGTTCGATCCCTGGGTTGGGAAGATCCCCTGGAGCAGGAAAAGGCAAGCCACTCTTGCCTAGAAAACTCCATGGACAGAGGAACCTAGTGAGCTACAGTCCATGGAGCCACAAAGAATCAGACATGACTGTGCAACTGAACACGCATGGTTTTCCAAAGCCTTTCTCCCTGGGAAGCCAGTGGTACAGTGGCAGCTCTGTCTTCTGCAAATCTCCATGGCTTAAAACAGGGTCCCCTCCCCCAACTTCTCCATCTCTTCGATTAATTACACTATCATAAAGATGATCACTACCTCTTCTAGACAAGGCAATGCAGCCTGAATTATTTTGCACACTGTCTGAATCCTTCAGCACTATTTGGCAGTAGGTACTCAGTGAATGATAGGATGGATGATTGAGCTGCTCTTCCTATTATAAATGAGTGAAATAGCAAGGAAGACATCCTTGTATAGCTACCCCTACCTCCCCCTCCCCTACCTCTTTGACTAAGTCTGGCTCTGAAAATCCAACTGCTGCTTCTTGGTATATAGATAATGTCTCCTTGGCTCCCGTGCCCTTGGATGTTTCACACAAGGACATTCTGCTTCCTGGGCTGAAGGGCCGGTGCAGCAGTGCTGGCTGTGTACTTACTTTCCCAAGTAGAGTTCTGATAGGCTCTTCAGTAGGCAAACTGAAGGTGGGACTGCATCCAGGTGGTTGTCGTTCAGACAAAGGACTTCCAAAGACTCACTCAGGAAAGCAGGAAATTCCAGTACACACACTGCAAAGAAATGGCAAAGCAAACCATACATTGGAAGATAATTCTAGGCCATCACAACGTGGAGGCCAGGTGGGTGCATACACTGGTACAACCTCTAGAGGGAATTTGACAAATCTATCGGAATGAGATGCTCATCTCACTGACCCAGGGATTCCAATTCTAGGAAATGGTCCTACGGACATCCTAGCATGTGTGGCAAAGATGCGAGAACAAGGACACTCAGTGGCACAGTTTTCAGTAACAAAGGTAGAAGACAGTTTGTATGTCCACCCACAGGGAGTTGGTTAAATGAATAATGGGATTCTATACAATTATTACAAAGCACGGGGTGGGTCTACATGTATGGGTATGAAGAGACACATAAGAGATACTGGTAAATCAAAAAAGCAAGGTGTGGAAGCAGGTATCTAGAAGCCTAAATTTGTGTACCATAAAACATGTGCAAATGTGAAAAAACAGCCCCCCATGCACTTAGATATGTTATATTCATGTGTGCATAATTATGCATGCTATATGATGTTATGTGCATGTGTACACAACACACATGCCTACACGCTTACTTTTGTTACATGAAGTTATGTGCACACACATGTTATATGCATGCACATATATACCACACATGCACATTAATATGTATACGTTACATGTTGTTATTAGCATGTGTATATACACTACAAATACCACATGTTACAGATGTTATATGTTATAGTGGATGTCAGACACAAACGCAATTGCTACCACAGACACGTGAAGTTCCGTAGTTCTCTCTGGAGAAGGAGATCACTGGTGTAACTGGGCAGGACCCTATGGGGCTTTCCCAGAATAGCCCTCCCCAACCCATGTCCTCTGCTCGCCTCTTGTCTGTAGAAAAACTGGGGCCTTCTAGGCTTCCCCAGCTCCAAAGAGTACTTTTCATCAGAGAAGTTGAGAAAGTGCAGAAAGAAAACAGTCAAGCAAGTCAAAATAATAATAATTCATCCATTAAACAAAGTCAAGGACCTTTATTTCCTCCTCAAGGGCTATAGAGAATATTCTGAGCCATGTCCTTTGAGCTGTTTTGCAGAGTCTGAGACCCCCGTCAGGTGGAAGGCGTTAACTGTGTGCTGTCCACAAGCACGTAGACCCCAGACCGGTTGGAACCAGAAAGTTGAAGCTGACTCCCGACTGCCTCACCACCAATCAGTCAGGTGAATGTCCATGAGCTGCTCCCACCCCCACAAGCCCCCTCCCTCACTCTGTCTTAGAAACCTTTCCCTGAAAGCCTTTGGGTAGCTCAAGCTCTTGAGCACTGGCTGCCTGGATAGCTTGCCTGTCTAGACAAGCACCTGCAATAAACATTGTGCTTGCCTTCACCATGACCCAGTGTCGCTACATGGTCTTTACTGGACACGGGTGAGTGGACCTGAGTTCGGTTTGGTAACACTGGAAGGCTGAATATTCATTCCACACCCTTGGGTGCAGTTTGGAAATTTTGTTTACCATACATTAATGCATATATTACTTCTTCAATTATAAAACAGCCAGTTAACTGAAAAATAATAATGTGGTCTTGGTTTTTATGCTTCCTAGGAACGAGTCAACTCTCTAGTACATTTAAGTGATTTCAGTAATTATGCTGGTTTTAAGGTTCCTATTAAAATTACATCAAATTTGCTGTTTCTACAGCACCAGAGTGTGTGAGTTGAGAAAGAATGTGGGGAAAGCTTGGAAACTGATAGGAATCAGAGGGTCGGATTGCAACAGAATCTCTGAAGTGCCTTCTCCTTTCTCCTAAGGCAGGGAGAATGGGGGCAGGTGAGCACCCCCCTGAGGGCCCCTTCCAGCTCAAATTCAAGATAAACCAACGGCCTCAAAGCCCTCTCAGCCAGTTCTCTGCCAGACACACAAGACAGAGAAGCTGGCGTTCTTTTGTGAGGCTGAAACGATGCCTCTGCCCTGGATCACAGTCCTCCCTTAACTCTGGCTTTTCTCCACACATGCAGATGCAGTCGCAATGGTAACAGGGTAACCTGGCATCAGAGAATGTTCTGGGAGAGACGATAACAGAATACTGATATTGGCGCCTGGATAATTTGCTCAGCTAGCACCACATGAATGGGACTCAACACAGAGGCCCCTACAGAAATAAGTGTGCAACAGACTCTTAAGGACAGCTTTGTACTAATCCTTGTTCTATAAGGAAAATGTTCAAAAAGTGTGTTTTTTTTTTTAAATGAAAAAGAATGACCAACTTCACCCTGCCCTAATTTGCATGGAAAAAAAAAACATCAAGAAAGACCCACTTTCTTCCCAGAGAACACGTTCTGAACACATAGTCTCTGTACTTTCCATATTTAGTTTCACCTTGGTGTTTAAGAAGCCTCTTTAAGAAACAGACAGACGGAATAAGGGACTTGCCCTCTACACAGAGACAACACCTGTCACAGACTTCTTGGCCCAGAATGGAAACTCTGAAAACCGGGCTGGGCAGAGAACACAGCTCAAGGTATTTATGAACTGTAATTACTTATTCATACATTATTTATGACTCAGATGGTCTGAATTTTACTGTAAAAATGGCCATCCAAATTATTTTTGGACAAGACCACTGTGCCAACATGACTACTTGAATGTACATAAATCTACTTGGAGTTTTCTATCCATCTGCAAACAAGTAGAGATGATGCCTTACCCCAGGCCAACAGCCTGAGAGAACAACCCTCTTAGGAAAAGCGTCTCTCCCTTTCACCCAGGCACAGGCCTCAACTCTCTAGATGAAATCGACAAAATCATGGGGCTCTTGTCGTGTGCGGACAGCACAGCACCCCCCACCCCTGCCAGGGAGCCTCCTGAGCTGGGTCCTCCCCAGCTCCAGCCACGTTCCTGCTGGCCACCACGGGGCCACTTTCCAGGGCACGGCGCGTGTTTCTGCCCCGCTGGGCCCTGTGTGCCTCTGGTCTTGCACTCTGGCGGTTTCATGAAAAAGCGTCTAGTCCCCCGGGAGTGCTGGCCCACCTCCTAAGGCACCAGCATGGTCTGCCTTTCTGGACTAGAGACACCCTTCTAGTCCACTCCAACCCCTGAGCTTGGCCTGCCGCAGTGGGAGTGCAGCTGAGGTCCACCAGCAGCCCTTCTCCTGCCTGCCACCCCGTCTGGGCAGCCATGAGAAGGAAAATACTTGCTTTTCCTTCCTCCCAAGTGAAATCCTTAGGTCTGGACTCAATTTCCAAAGTCCTAAGGCCCTTTGTTTTGAAAAGGATCAGTTATGAAATTCCAAATTGCATTTCCCTAGTAGCGAGGTTCGAGGCCTTTCTGTTTCTTCCTGGGCCATCTGGACTTCCTTTCCTGTGAACTGTTTATATCCATTGCCCAGTTTCTGCCTATTGGGTTGACTTTAAAAAAAGTCAATTTGTAAGCTGTCTTTGTATATTAGGGACTTAAGCCAGTTTATGTTGCAACAATTTTTGTTGCAAATATTTCCTCTTGGTCTGTTTGCATTATGACTTTGCTTACGATGCCTTTTACTGAACAAAGTTTTCCCATTTTTTACAATGCTAAAGATTTTGCTTTTTCAAAAATTACTCCTGGATTTCCCACCTAGCTTTTAAAGATCTGCCTACCTTCAAGTTATATATTTATGCTCTTAAATGTTATTTCCTTTTTTTTTAATGCTTCAAGCTGACATCTGCATGGAGATATTTGTAACTGATATAAGGAGGGCACTGGTGCAGTGTTTTCCCTTCTTTCAGCTGGACAATCAGTTATATCAGCACTATTTATTAAAACAATAAAATATTCTTTTTCCCACTGAATTGAAATGCCGCTTGTGTCACACTAAATTCCTATATTAAGTCTATTTTTGGACTCTTCTCTGTTCCACTATGATACATTCTTTTTTCAATCATATATAATCATCAAAAAAGGGCAACAGGTAGGCAGACTGTTTAGTCCACCTGTAAATATGTCTTGGCCTCTGTGGCATTTCTTATTCCCACCTGACACCATCTACACTTAAAAAGCAGTTGTCAATAGAGATCAATCAAGCTGAAGAAAAAAGTTTTATTACACCTAAAATAACCTAAATATCGGTTCCATTGGACAGTATCCACAGGGATAGATCTATGAGCATTGATGGCTTTAGAACTCCTGACTTTCAGATTAAAAAAGAGGGCTGCTGATTGAATGTGAGGGGCAAGTCCACACCTCTGTCTGTACCTTACAGAAATGAGGAACAAGAAGAACTGTTTTCCTAGAAACGTTCTCTGCTGAACTGGCCTTGTCATGAGTTTGGAGGAAGACCTCAAGAGCCTCTAGAGTCTCAGCACAGCCAGGACAGCCTGTAGGACCCAGGGCTGTGGTGTTTCCATGCGCGCCTCACAGGAAGCCGTGGTGTGGAGGCAGGAGAGCGCAGCCCCCAGGCCCAGGGCCGATACTCATGGTGTTGGCCTGGCTCTCCTGCTCAGCAGCCCCTGCCCACATCAGTTACCCCTGTGCTCAGACTGAATCAGGTCCCCTCACATCTGTGAGTGGGAGCCCTCACCCCCAGCGTGATGGCTTTAGGAGATGAAGTCTTTGGAGGGTGGCCCCATGAGGGGTTACCATCCCTATAAGAAGAGACACCAGCGGGCTCTCTCTCTCTCTGCCATAGGAGGACAGAGCAAGAAGGCAGCTGTCTGCAGGCCAGAAAGAGGGCCTTCAGCATAAACTCACCGTGCACCTGACCTTGGACTTCCAGCCTCCAGAACTGAGAGAAATATATTTCTGCTGGTTAAGCCACCCAGTCACTGGTGCTTTGCTATGGAAGCCTGAATTGAAGACACCCCGGGAGGCTCAGTTTCCTCATCGGCAAGATGGAAAATCACAACCCACATCATGTTGTGATGGTTACAGAGAGACTGACGCATGTAAGTTATCTAGGGCAGTTCTCACACAGCAGGCCATCCATACATGGGAGCTGCCAGACTTACTGGGCTGCAAACAGGAAAGGGGGTTTCGGGACACAGACAGGCCATCTGTGTGACACGAGCCACGGGCACAGTCAGGAGCCCGATCAGGCACGGGCACTCCACAGGGCACTGCAGGCGAGAGCCCACCGGAGACGCCTCCCTGCAGGCCCCCCAGCCGTCTCACCTCCCAGCAGCAACACACACACCTGCCTCCGTCCCCGAACGCTGGCGGCCTCTGGTGGTGAAAAAGGAAATGCGCTTTGTTTTAAGGACATCTTCGTTTCTGTAGGGGGAGAAACGCCCAAGTTTGAGGAAAGCATGGTGAAGACATTTCTACTCGGGCTGTGACTATACAATGGCACACAGAAAGGAGAGAGAAAATACCCCCAGCAGGGTGTCGGGGCCCCTGTGGCCGATGGTAAGCATGGACAGCCATTGTTTGTTAACTGCACCAGTTGTGCTCACAAGTCTTTTGGGAAAAAACAAAAACAAGCAGAGAAGGTGACGTAATGCCAGCAGGACTAGCGGTTACCACTCCTGAGCTTTTCGGTCTCAGGCAGGGGCAGCCTGGCAGGAAGGCCCACTCCAGGGGCTGCCGCTTTTCTCTTCACCGGGGAGCTCTCTGCGAGGGGTAAGTTCCACTGAGATGCCGCAGTGGTGTCCCTCAGCCAGTGAACTAAGGAAGCTGGTCTTCCTAAGGAGACCTTAGAGGGTATTTTTTATTTAGTCTACACATATTGGCTAGTGACTGGCAAAAACTTTTGAACAGAAGGACAACTGAGGCTAATACAGGGAGACTCTCCAGGAGTCCCTAAAGACTGGAAATCGCAGGATACTGTGTTGGGCTGAATTGTGCCCCTCCCATTCACATGTTGAAGCCCTAACCCCCAGCATCTGAGAATGTGAGCTATTTGGAGACACGGCCTTTAAGCAGGTTATCCAGTTAAGACGAGGTCATGAACGTGGGCCTGGGTCCAGTCTGCCTGGTGTCCTCACAAGAACAGGACACAGACAGGCACAGGGGAGACTGTGTCAGGGCACGGGGTCAGCTGTCTGCCTGCCGAGGAGAAGCCTCGGGAGAAACCGACCCTGCCGCCGCCTCCCTCTCAGGCTTCCAGCTTTCAGAACTGGGGGAAGTCCATGCCTGTCATTTCAGCCAGCCGGTCAATGGCACTTTGTCATGGCCGCTCAGCGACCCCGCATGGATGCCATCCCATGGGTCTGTGACTGGGCTTATACACACAGCTGAGGGCTCACTGGGGACAGACACCCCTGCTTACTTGCCAAACTGATTTCTGGAGAGATCCAGGGCTTTGAGCTGCCTGCAGGTCCACTTCTCTGGAGGTGGGAGGGCTACCAGCTGGTTTCCCTGTAACTTCAAGGACATGAGGGCCTGGGGCAGAGAGAGAGAGCAAAGGTGACGTCGGATAGCACAGGGGTGGAGGACGGGAAGGGGAACCAAACAGTGACAACCAATTCACTCTCACAGGGATTCCAACAGTGAGGGGCCTCACAGGGTCTTCAGCCTCCTGACATCACAGCAGAAAGGGCGAATGGGACAGTTAACAGATCCTTCCCTTCAGATCAAGGCGAGGCAATTATTCCAGAATTAAAGGAATGAACTGACACTTCTTAAGAGTGACAATTACTTGTGGACCCGTCCCAGGAATAGCAGAAGAGTCTGAAGGCTCTGGAGGCCACAGTGCCAGCGCAAGAGGGGTGGGCAGAGTGGGATGGCTCCCTGGACTGGCCCAGGTGACACCCTGGACAGGGGTCGGTGGCAGCAGCAACACCAAGGGTGACCCGCCCAAGTCACGGAACCTCTGCCGGCTTGACACGGATTCCCCTGGGGCAATGGAGAGTACCCCACCCGGGCCTGGCTCTGTGCACCAGGTGGTGACTAGGACCCATGCTCTGCTTTCAGAGGTTCCCACGGGGGCAGGAAAAACAGACAAGTCTGGGAACAGCCCTGCTGGGACACACACAGCCAGGGCTCTGGCACAAGGCATTTCCTGAGTTCACGCCCGGGAATTCCAGCTCTTCTGCTTCCGGGCAGGGAGGCAGGATGAGGCTGCTGCCCGAGCCTTGTGCACCAGCAGGCCTGGCGGGCCCACTCGGGAGCCAGGAAGGAACAGAACCACAGAGGGTCAGTCCAAGGGGCTGCTGGGCTGTGCTTACTGTCAACATTAAAGAAAATTCTGGAGAACAAAAACCCATCATCCCACCTTCCTCCCAGAGCTGTTGTCATTTTGTGCATTTCCTCTCAATCTTTGCATGCAACCAAAATGATCTTGATGGCTAAACTTTTCTTTCAACTTATTTTTTCTTTGTCTCAAAAGCTCTGAAGAAGTACATAGAACTGTGACGTGGAGTGGTTTTCTTGCAAAAGCTGAAAATGAGAAATCAGGTGCTATTACTTGACTTACATCAAGCTGGAAAAGTCCCAAGGGAACTTCTTTCAGTGCATTTTCTGAGAAGTCCACATCCTTCAGGTGGTTCTTCCAAAACACAGCCATTTTGTCTGGTAGAGACTCCAGGGCATTTTTGGATGCTTTGCAACATTTCTAGGAGTATGACAATAAAGACAATTAATCAGCTTTTTAAAGGCAGGGGTTTCTATGAGAAAGACTTTCCAAATTTAATGTTAAAAATAAGACCATTACAAAAACCTCTGTAATAAATACAGTTCAGCTAATTAAGAGGCTACAGACTATTCCTGGGATTCCCTAGTGGCTCAGCAGTAAAGAACCCGCTCCAATATTCTTGCCAGGAAGTCCTCATGGACAGAGGAGCCTGGTGGGCTACAGTCCACAGGGTTGAAAAAGGGTCAGACTCGACTGAAGCGACTGAGCACACATGCATGCAGACTATCCTTGCCCTGTTTTCCTGTCCTTGCTCCAGGGAATGGTGGGAATGGTTTCCTGGGGAGACCAAGGTGGCTCGTGGTATTTTCCCCTCCCCCAGGACACCTGGCCCATTGTCCTTGAAAATAATGGGACAATTCAGGAGAGTGTTCTGAAGAGGAGCCTACACCATACACACATATACATTTAAACTTGAAATATTAATGTGAGGAATGGAGAATTTCCATATTTGCTGTTAAAAATAACGGCAAGAAAACACAAATATACTTTATGCTGTTCCATCTGTTTTAACAAGCAAACTTCCCAAGAAACGAAACCACCATTTGAAGGGGAGTGCTATGGATGCAGACTATGCCTTCTCTCCTTCATTCTTATTTTATGGCTGTCCTAAAGGAACGGCCAAGTGTTTTTGGACAGAACTCGACCCGGGTCATCCCATTTCCAGGCTGTAGTTGTGGAAAGTCTTGTAGGTGCTATGATGCCAATCTCAAACCCAAAGCCAAGGGGGCTGGCCCTCGGGTGAGTTACCTGCCTAAGACCCTCAGCTGCTAGATGCTGAGTGACAGACATGCTCATCTATAACATGGGAGCAACTCTGCCCATCGAGGGGAGGTAGCATGGTGCACCCTCTCAGCTCTGTGGGACTGACCGCTCCTTCCACAGTTTCTGGAAAGTTACTAACCAAAGGACAAGCCCAGGCATCTGGAAGTGCCCTCAAGTTATTTCTGGAGGCATTCAGACAACTGAGTGATTTGAAAGAATGGAGGAAAAGTGCAGGGAGTTCTGTCAGTTTGTTGTCAGAAACATCGAGCTCCTGTAGCTTCCGTAAACCAATCCAGTTCGTGGCTAGAAGATAAAAGAGGATGAATTGGTAAATATATCCCAATCAAGAAGAAAATGACAAAGTATATCAGGTTACTGATGATGAAACATACCACTCTCTTCTTCAAACAATTTTTCCAAATAGTTTTTTGAAGCTGTCAGTTTTTGAAGTTTTGAGAGATGCAGGAATCCTGGTGGGAGGTGGGACAATTTGTTGCTGGAAATATCTATTTCAAGTAGCCTGTAGTTGGGAAAGAAGGAAGTCAAGGCATCAGAAGCAAGTCTTGGTTACATATTTCTCTGTAAATGTGTTTTTCTCCTGGCACAAGGACAAGGAATGTGCACTGAAACACCACCATGGTTTGTGTTCATCGTGTTATCATCACTATGTCGTGTAGAAAAAGAAGACCAGGGCTCTCGTCGGTGGGTCTGGGGCTCACTGACCAGTAGGGATGTAACCTTTCTCAAGAATGTGATAACAGAACAAGCTGGTGTCCTAGATGCTACTGGAAGTCCAGAGAGCAGTGCTTTTAACCTTTTGGACTCTCAAGTCTGCCCTGGTTAAGGACCCCCCACTCCATGGCGGCTGTTTAATTTTTTGGACAGGGCTTTTTTCACATGAGTTACTACTGACCCTATGCTCTTGTCAACATTCTTTTCTCTTCACTTAGAGCCTTAACTTTTGAAACCAGCTCACATCCCATACGGAACGAGGGCTTACAGGCATGATCAATACATCAGGGAAGGGAAGGTCCTTCCCCTCCCCATGCAGCCTCAGCAGGGGGGCTTGGGTGTCTTCCCAAGGCCTCCCAGAAAGAGAGACAGGCACACTGTCAGACCACGACCAGAGTCCTGTGCAGTTAACTGCTTCCTGGAGGCCCTGCTCACTTTTCTTGGGAGGTAGGCCAAAAGCCAGGGTGTCTGGGCCCCATTGCTTCCACCATCCCCCTTCCTCTGATTCCTGCCTGCAGGACCAAGACTGGGCATCATGGGCCAGCAGGCCTGCATGGCTGCAAAGATCAGTGGACATGTGGGCCAGACAAACCACCCTGTCAGAACTCTCTGTGTTCACGTGGACAGCAGCCCGGGACCTTGTGCCCAAGAGCTTGCTGAAGGCACGCACAACTTCCTTCTCTTATTTTAGCTGAAAATCTGTTTTCCAAAGCACCAGCTACAATCAGGGAGCACAACTGCAGGAAGCAGACTCTGCAGGCAGAGGGTGTGGGGGCAGCCAGGCTCACACGGCCGGGGCCCCCACTGGGGCCCGGGGCAGGAGCCTACCTGGAACAGATGATTTCATCTGATGACTGCACGCTGGGCAGCTCCCCCAGGTGGTTGTCCGAGAGGTTCAGTTTCCGGAGGTTGATAAGGCCCCAGGGAACGACTGAGGGGAGGGACGCCAGGCAGTTGGCAGAAAGATCCAGCTCTGTGATCTGGCAGGAGATGTCGATGAGCCAGTCCAGATCCACCCAGGGCAGCTTGAGGTGGGACCATTTTACACGAAGAGCCTGGGTGTTGGAGAAATGGGTAAAGCACACGCCAGTGATGAACCCAGGGCTCACGCAGACTTGGAATAAAGCAATGGTTTATCCAAGTGTGAGTCTGCCTGCTCGTCTCAGCGGAGTCCTGAGAGATCAGGAGCTCTGGGAGCACGTTGGCACTCGGGGGCACCTATATCCTCAAGGGCATCTCTACAGACACAGCAACGTGCTCTCCAGACTCAAGCGGGGGCACATGGGCTTTGCATCACCCCTCAGAGGGCTGGACACACAGCAGCACACACACCCTGCTCTGTGCAGAAGAGGCCACCCCAACTTGGATGACCCGCACCAGCCAGGAGAAGAAGGCGGAGACCCAAACCTGGGTCTTCTCCCTTCAGGTCACCCTTCCCCGTGATGAGGGTAAGAAGCGTCTGCACATGCTCACACCGCGCGGGGTGCTTTGTGGATGCACCGCTTCCAGAGTGAGTGACAACACACAGGCAACGGCCAGAGCACATGCGAAAAAGAGGACTTTGACCCAAAACCTGCAGTAACCTACCAGGACACTGATAACCCCCTCATCTAAACTGGAAGCAGGGACAAAACTAGGGAAGTGGTCACTTCTCAGACGAGTCCCGGACATTTGGGGCCAACTGTTACAGAAGTTACCCTGTAACTTCCTGGACTGTTACTAGGCGTTACAGTGAGTCATGGGTGGGGCCTGGCATTTGACATTTCCTGCAAGCTCCCAGGTAATGCCAGAGCTGCTGGTCTAAGGAACACACTGTGGGAAGGAAGAGACTGAACTTGACCTAGAGGTTGACTCATTCTATTTAAAGTATAAATTATATGATCTTTCCTTTCAGGTGAGAAGGGTTCTCTAGCCCTAGGCTAAGACAACTGCTGTAACTAATTAGGGAAAGTCAAACATGCTCCCCTAACCAGTCACAAAGGACGCCCCCTTCTAAGTCACTGCCTCCAGCTTGCCCACCAACAGCCTTCAGACAGGGCACACCTGGCGGCTTGCCCTTGTCCATGATAAAGCCTCTCCACTCCTCTGACAAAAGGTGAGCGACAGTGGCTGACTCGCTACCGAAAGCGCTGAACAAATCTCCTTTGCTTTTCTCATTTGATTGGGTCAGAAAGGCCAGCAGCTTGCTGGCACATGGTGGTAAACGGGATCTGGTTAAGTGTTCATGAGCAGGGCTTTGCTTTGCTTGGTAATCCAAGAATGTGGGGCTCACTGAGGTTTCTGGGGAAAGGAAATCGGCTCTTTTGGCTACTTTCTCTAAAGCAGCTGGAAATCCATATCAGAAAATTAGAGAACCAAGAATTAGTGCTTCACTGAAGGGAAAATGTTGCAACTGGGAAAGACACCAATAACGTGAGGTAAGTTCGCTTTCAAAATTGGCAGCACAGACTCCCTTAGCCGGTCACAAGGTGGCGTGTGCGCCCCGTCTTCGTCTCCTTGGCTAACTTGCCAGGATTGGAAAGGCCGTTCCTTTTCAAAGTTCTGGGTTTTGAACCAAGGAGATGGGGGCCCTGTCTCTGTCTGCCTGTCTTTCTCCAAGCACCTCGATGAAGTGAGATGGTGGTATACTGGATTTCAGGTCAAGAGAATGGAGTTTTAGTCTCAGTTTTACTTTAGACAAGTCAAGCTTGAACTGTAGGCCTGTTTTTATTGTCATTATTGTTTCCCCCATAATTTTTTATCTTGAAAAATTTCAAAACTGCAGAAAAGTTTAACCAGTTCAATGCATACCCATTCATACATACCTCATCTAGATTCAACTGTTAATATGTTGCCACATTTCTTTTTCTTCTTTTTCTCTACACACACACACACACACACACACACACACACACACACACAAACATACACTTTTCATTTTTTGCTGCGTCATCTGAAAGTAACCATGGCACTGCACACCAAAATTATCTCTGAAGAAATGAAATCAGTACTACATTATCAAATCCATACTCCATGTTCAAATATTCCAGAAATGTCTTTTATTACTATTCTGCATCTTAATCCAGGATCTCATCAAAAATCATACACTGCATTTAGTTGTCACATCTCTTTACTTTTCTTGAATCTAGAAGAAACCTCACGCCTTTCACTGTCCTTTTAAACTTTGGCATTGTAAGTTTTCAAGTCATTCTAGTTGTCTTGTAGAATATCCCATAATCTGAATTTTGTTTCCTAATGTTTAGATTCAGGTTAAGCATTTTTGGCAAAAATCTCAATGTTCATTCCTACTAATTGAACTCCACAAGAGGGCACCTGATGCCAGGTTATTTCACTAATGGTGATGCCAAGTCTGATCCTTTGTTTAAGGGATCTGTCCTTTGTAATGCCACATTTTGTGTGTGTGCGTGTGTGTGCACGCTCAGTTGTTTCCAACTCTTTGGGAGCCCATGGACTGTAGCCCACCAGGCTCCTCTATCCATTGAATTTCCAAGCAAGAATACTGGAGTGGGTTGTCATTTCCTCCTCCAGGGGATCTTCCAGACCCAGGGATCAAACCCGAGTTTCTTGCATCTCTTCCACTGGAAGGCAGACTCTTTACCTCTGTGCCACAAAGTCACATTGTACTCTTTGTGATTAACTAGCAATCTGAGGGGGTGATATTCTGAGACTAGTGAATGTTTTCTGTTCCTACATCAGTTCATCCCGTGGTTTCAGCATCCATTGTTGATCCAGGGTGTCCAGATCACAATCTGACTCTCTCCACTCTGTATGGCCCTGTATGGCCATTCAGGTCACCTGAACTGATACGGCGGTCAAATGCAAAGTGAAAAGGAGACTGGGTTTGCTTTTAAATAACAGACCTTAGGTGTCTATTGAAAGTTTTATAAATAAAACTCTGTAAGGGCCATCAAAAATAAATAAAACAACAGGCGCAACTCAGGTTGCTATGGTGACATGAAACAATTACGACACAAATCAATTAGACATCCTTGGGGAACCAGCTGAGACCTTGTGTCCCGACAATGGCAGTCTTCCTCCTGCATCTCTTCCTGTCAGCCTCTCTGATCCTAGAGCTGCAGCCTAGAACTGTATAAGGAGCAGGGACTCCGCCTCAGGGACACGAGTCGTGTGTTTGCTTAATTCACCCCATGTGAGACCTTGGGCAAGCTGAGTGGGGGTGAGCACTTTTTCAGGCACTGTCAGGCTCAACTCCCTTTTCAGGAAACCACCCATGGATTCCGTGCTGCGCTAAGTCAGCCCAAGGGTCGTCTCCATCTCCTCTGCCCCAGGAGGCAATGTGGCCTTCCAGAAGCTGGACTGCAAGCATCTCTAGTGCTAGGCCTCGTGATGACAACCTCTGAAGCTCAGCACTGTGCCTAGCATGCAGCAGACACTCGAGAAATGTTTGTGTGCTGAAAAGAGGCAAGCCACCGGGACCAACAATCCATCTACTATTGCCTCTAGCCGTATCCACCACTCTAAACTCTCAAGGTCTGCTCAAACCCCACAGCCTCCCCCACTGCAGTCTGTCCGCAGAGAACACCTCAACTCCTACCCTGGACAGCCCCGCACCTCCACAGTCTGCCCCAAACACTCCCCAAATTTCTGGCACACTGCTTCTCCTAAGACCTCTGCCCACCCTCTCAGTTCCTTTTGGCAGATGGCTTGTGGGGTTAATAACTTGTTCTCAGTAGAAGGTGGAAGAAACTGGGGAATGGGCCAACTCCTAGAACTGAGGATTCAAGACTAAAGGAAAACTTCCAACTAAAGCCCAGAAACTCAGTTCAGTTCAGTTGGTCAGTCGTGTCTATCTCTTTGCAACACCATGGACTGCAGCATGCCAGGCTTCCCTGTCCATCATCAACTCCTGGAGCTTATTCAAACTCATGTCCATTGAGTTTGTGATGCGATCCAACAGTCTCATCCTCTGTCATCCCCTTCTCCTCCCACCTTCAATCTTTCCCAGCATCAGGGTGTTTTCCAATGAGTCAGTTCTTTGCATCACGTGGCCAAAGTATTGGAGTTTCAGCTTTGGCATCAGTCCTTCCAATGAATATTCAGGTCTGATTTCCTTTAGGAAGGACNGTTGGTGCAACCCTTATGGTTGAAGAATATAATCGTTTATGAAGCCTGAAATTGACAGTGCTTTTAGGCTTGCTTTAACCTAAAGAGCTGAGGGGCTGGCAACTGGGCCCTGAGCAAACACAGAGAAGGGTTCTCTGCTCCAGCGCTGGGAGGACGTGCCTCTGCAATTTTGAGAACAGCCCCACCAAAGCAAGCTCCAATGCTGCCTTCTTAGGTCTCCATGGAACCCACAAAGCAGAATATTCATCCCTTCTCATATTTTCATCTTACTGTCCCTTGAGGGGACAGAGGGGAACTCAATGACAGCAAGGCATGACACAAAAAAGGCAGTCAGTGCAGTTAGTCTTTTCAGTCAAGATACAAGAGTTAAAATGGGGGAGAAATACATAGAATGTTCTAAAATGTATTCATGGATCCTTGGACTACATAGGAGCTTCCCTAGTGGCTCAGATGGTAAAGAATCCACCTGCAATTTGGGAGACCTGAGTTCAATCCCTGGGTTGGGAAGATCCCCTGGAGAAGGAAATGGCAACCCACTCCAGTACCCTTGCCTGGAAAATCCCATGGACGAAGGAGCCTAGTAGGCTATAGTCCATGGGGTCCCAAAGAGTCAGACATGACTGAGCGTCTTCACTTTCTTTCTTTGGACTACATAGAACCTAAGACTTCCTTTTTGTGAGTAAGCACATTCCTGGGTGGTGGTTCTTTGTTGAAATAGACAGTAAGACAAGAACTACCTTCTGACTGCGAAGGAGTATTCAGAGCACCGGACAGCTGAAGAGTGCAAATCCAACGGGTGTAATTGGAGAGGAACAGACTCACTAAAAGGTCTGAAGAACAAGTGAAAAGAAACCTAAGAATGAAGGTGCCCAGGGCAGCAGAGTCTGCTGCAGAATCTGAAGACAAATCCTAGGCCCCCCAAGGGATGTCAGTGACTGCAGAAGGGGGTCTGTGCATGGAGGCCAATAAG